TATCAGCTGTTTTACCACATCATTAGTTAAGGAGCTAAGGATACATCATGCTAGCTGTTCCACCTATACTTTCAGTATATAAGGAGCATCAACTAGAAACCTGTTTTGAATTATGCTATCTGTTTCACAAGTCTTGGCAAATTGTTTCCCAATACCGCAATGATATTTTTCTTCTGCTCATGGAATCTCTCTTCTTAACATTATGGCTCGTCTTGCCCATATATTGCTTGTCAGAGGTACGAGACTACAAATACACCAGAAGGCAGCTTTAAAAATGTATACACTTATATATAGTACACACCTTGCCATGGATGGAGGTGATTTCATGGTTTCATTAAAGATATAGGCATATGTGAAAGCAATGATAGTTGGCAGATGGGAACATAGAAGAAGGGACATAGAAAGTTGGCATCAAAGAACAAAGATGAAGTAGGACAACTTAAGGATGGAAGCTTAGAACTGGATGCATAGAAGAAGTAAGAATCAAAAGCACATAAGCATTACAGGTATGTTAAGAAGTTGTTTTATGTTTATTAATGTTTAATATTTTATAGTAAATGTGAGGTCTGGACAGAATTGCATGACAAGTGGCCTGGGGACCATAGAACTGACTTAGACCCAATTAATATTTAGGATGGGCATGGTTGAGTTTTGAGAGTATACCTCAGTCACAAGATACGGATTGTGACAATACTACTTTTATTTTCCTCGGAACTAGGGAAGCAATAAAGTAAACACTTTCTAATCTCACAATAAAATAAATATACTCTTGACAAAATCAACATAGACACAAATAATTGCTTCGTAGAACCATGGGAATTAGCACAAGACCTATAATAAAAGCTATTTACATCTTGTTTTCCATATCTGTACGGCTATATTTGCATAATTCTTGTAGAACCTAATCAAAGCTACCTTTCATCAAACACTGAGTAGGAGAGGTGTTTGTGATGTGGATATCAGAAAGCACACAGTTCCCTCCTCCTACAATTGATGGAATGTCCTGCACACTCACACATCAATCTCTCTCTCTCTGTTCTAGTAAAGTAAAGGAGATCCCAGACAAATTCTACTCAGCTTGGAAAGTTTGGATCTTTTCCAGAATTACTACATCACGAGAAGGAACAAGACATGGCAACTATTTGTTAGTGGCTTCTTAGTATAAACACATGTCCTGCCATCTGAGAGACGCCAGTCTATCCTCTGTTGAAATACCTGAAATGTCCCGGTGTGGGTTTGATGTGCTTCTGTCTATGAAGGAATTCTAAAAATACCACTCCAATAGCAGTGGAATGTTAAATAAAAATGTATTAACTCTTTGAAAAGGCTCTCCTCCATATACGTTGTATTTCTTCCTGTCACAACAGTAGACTACATAAGCAATAAATACTTAATGAAAACCTATCTTTGAAGAATCACTTAAGGTATCCAGACCACTTCACCTCACTGACGTGGTCTGGGTGCAGTGGACCTGATGTTTTATCCCTTCAATGTAAAACAATGCAGTTTTGTACAAGCAGCATTGCCTACATTGCAGGGTTAACATGCCTCTAGTGGCTATCGCTTTATATTCTGTTTATTCTTCGATACATATCCAGGAAGGCAGAGTCATAGTCATTGCACCCTTAAAAAAAATAAAAGTACCATTGTTATTTCTAGTGCCTGTTTCTCCTTTGAGAACCTAGTTTCACTTGGTCACTTGACGTTCCATGTGACATTGAACGTCATCAAATGTTGCTCATAGGGAAGGATTGGATTCAATGCTTCCCTGTGAGAAGCATTTGATTAGGTGAGCGTGGCACTTGCTGTGCTTGTGTACTTGTCCATAATGATTCCCTGTGAGACTCATTTGAATGGATGAGAAGAGCCAGCAGACAGATGACGTTGCAAATATTGGATTTGTGGACAGCACAGACTGAGTCTCCGCGCTGGAGAAAAAGTAAGTAAAACCTATTTTGCTTTTTTTTAAATTTTATTTTGGGGTGGCTGATTCTTACTAGGGACTAGATACAGGCATAGGCAACCTTCGGCACTCCAGATGTTTTGGACTACACCTTCCATGATGCTTTGCCAGCATTATGGGTGTAAGAGCATTATGGGAATGTAGTCCACAACATCTGGAGTGCCAAAGGTTGCCTATCCCTGGAACCATACAGTTTTAGGAATATATGTTTGATTTTATAATACCATAGTGTTCCTTTAATTATTTCACCTAAATAAAGGAACTAGCTTTCAAGCAGTACTGGATAGTTTATCAGGGTTTGATCTTGATTGTTGACAAAATAATTGTTGGGCATCCACAACGGTTCATACACTGGGTATCATATCCTCATGTTCATCCACTGGTTTTCACTGTTAGCATTAGTAGCTTCGGTGAAGTTTTAGTGTTTCCCATAAGGAATAATAGGAGACAAAAATACTAACACCAGGTTTCCATACTAGACAGTAAACATTACTTAGAGACTGAGGCTGGATTTACCTCCTAGCTCACAGAATTTTATACCTGCGTCCGTTTAACCCCTTAGTGACTAGACCGCTTTTCAATTTTCTTACCGTTTGGGACCAAGGGTGTTTTAACATTTCTGCGGTGTTTGTATTTAGCTGTAATTTTCCTTTTACTCATTTACTGTACCCACACATATTATATACAGTTTTCCTTTCCATTCAACGGTCTTTCTAAAGATACCATTATTTTCATCATATCATATAATTTACTATAAAAATTTTTTTAAAGTATGATGACATTTTTTTAAAAACACACTTATTCTAAATCTGAACCCCAAAATCTGTTACGCATCTACAACCACCAAAAAACACCCATGCTAAATAGTTTCTAAATTTTGTCCTGAGTTTAGAAATATTAACATGTTCTTAGCTTTTTTTTTTTGCAAGTTGCAGGGCAATAAGTACAAGTAGCACTTTGCTATTTCCAAACCATTGTTTTTCAGAATTAATAAAAGTTACATTGTAACACTGATATCTGTCAGGAATCCATAAATAACCCTTCACATGTATGTATTTTTTAAAAGAAGACAACCTAAGGTATTAAACTTGGGATATTCTGACTATTTTCATGCAACCATTTTACCACCAATCTATGCCAAATTAAAAAAAAAACTATTATAATTGGTGATTTTTTTTTTCAAACACATAGCAATTTAAGAATACATGTACTGAGAACTTTAAGGGTTACTGCCAAAGAACACCCCAATAAGTGTTCAGCAACATCTCCTGAGTACAGTGATACCACCCATGCGTAGGTGTGTCTGGTTCTCTGGGGGCTAAAATACCTTTTTTGGAGGGTGCGCATTCCAGTTTTCCAACTTGGAATTTTCACAGCTGGTCATCATGCACCCATGTCCTATTTGAGACATTTTTGAAGCCGGCCAATGTAATTTACCCCCATCAAACCATATATATTTTTTTAAAGTAGACATCCCAGTTTATTCAATATGGGGTATGTCCATTCTTTTTTAGTAGCCACTTAGTCCCAAACACTGGCCAAAGTTAGCATTTATATTTGTTTGTGTGTTAAAAATGCAAAAAACAATTATGAATGCTAACTTTTGTGTTTGTGACTAAGTGGCTACTAAAAGAGACTGAACATACCTCATTTGCATGTTGGGGAATACGCCTATTCCTTTCAGAGCCATCACATGGTCCTTGGGGTACTATTTAGCTGAGGAGGGACTATCTGGGCTGTCAGACAGTCCCCTCAGTGGAGAAGAAGACCGATCGCCGGCGGGGGAACGGCGACGATCTGGTAAGTAAATGGGAATGGTGGAGAAGAAGTTAGGGGGAGGTTAATATGTTTGTTTATTTTTATTCATTTTAAATAATTGTATTCTGCACTCGACCCCTCAAGGCACTCAGCAGAGGCAGAGCATCGGAAGCCTGCTTGATGGGTTCCAATGCTTTGCCTTACTGCCGTGCGCCACGTGGAGCAACCCGGAAATAATCGCTCTAGGGGAGCAATCACCCGGCTACCCAGCAGTACCATCAGAGCGGCTGGAAGCAATCATGATCACTTCCAGCGCTCTAATTTGCCGTGGACGTATCAGGTACGTCCAAGGTTATTAACAACCGTTTTTTACTATAATTCAGGATTTTAATTTACTACAATTTGCTGCTTAGTGAGCAAACCCTTTGGGGCTTCTTGTAGGAGGAGTGTGCATGCTCTGACGCTGAGGGCATTTTACAGTATTCCTTAGGAGATGCTATGGCAATTAACAGGAACATTTTCCTTTTTGTCTAATTTATAAAATGATAAATAATAACTTGTGTTCTGTATCAGTGAAGACACAAGTGAATAACATGTTATTATTATTTTAATTGACAAAAATCTACAGGTTGCTTAAAGTCTACATTTTACAGTGAACCTGTCTGTTTTTGTTTCTTTATTTTGGTGTCCTTTTCCTGATGCCCCCTGTATTTTAATAATCATACTCCCCTCCTTGCCACTTCCCTTTATTTAAATGTATTAGCGCTTCTTCCTTGTGCCGGATCTCAATATATGGGTGCAGTCATTCTGTTCTCCCCTGTTTACAGTTTCCCTTCTGTGAGATTGTCTTTACTGATAGATTGTGGGTAAATCTGATTGGCAACTGAAACGGAAACTTGTTTTAAGCTCCGCCCCTTATCAAGTTTTGTCAACTTGACTGTTATACATGAGGAAAAGTAGTCCCTACGTTTATTTATGTGTTTAATGAATATTAGAGTACTCAGGAAAATTAAGTGCAGACACAGGGAACTATGTAGAAACAGATTAGATTAAGTTCATTTTTGGTGACAGAGTTTGTTTGAAAATAAATGTAAAGCAGATGAGTAGAGAGCTGTCTCATCAGTAAAGTTCTCATCTCTATGGTAACTACTATTTCCTAGGCAAAATAATACCAAAAAATATGGAGTTCGATATTTAAGAGAAGGGGTTGGGGGGTATACAATGCATCAATTTTTACATATGTTAATTTAAACAAAGAACAAAATCTGGTAGTGCCTTAGTGCAATCATTTTTGTTTTATTGAAATAGTTACAACCGCTGGTGGCAAAAAAGAACTGAAAAACAAAGTGAAGACAGACAGAGAAACAAATTGTATTTACAATACAAAGGAGCTGTGCATGTGAAATTTACAGAACAACATATATTCAGTATGTTTTCTTAGCAAATATATATGACTCATTGTGCTTTTTCATCAAGGAGCTTAAACAGTTTGTGAAAGAGTTCCACTTAGTGGTAAAATATTTAAGGCAATATTTAAAACTGGACGACTAGCAGGCCAAATTTTTGGAGCAGAGGATGTCAAATAAAAATATTAAAAAAAGTAGTTTTTATTTTCAGGCTGGTTGGGGGTTAATGTTGGTGGGTCATATTATACAAAAGGGGATTTGTGGGGAACATTTTACTTACAAATTATGGGCATTTGTCTTTTATCCAATAAATGCGTTTTCAATAAATAAGACGTTTTATTACATTATTAACAATGCTGAACAGTATACAAATACATTTATGGAACATTTACAAAATGTCCAATGTTAGTACAAAATTGCATTTTTAACATTGAGAAAAACACAAAAATACAAATAAAAATATAATTCTTGAAACATTTCTCTTTTCTGTTTTACTGGGTCCCTTTAATAAAGTGTGTTAGAAATGCAAACTAGGGTTCTTGTTTTTCCAATGATAGATTAACTCTGAACACTAATTTTAGAGCTTCATTGTTGACGTTTTTGTTATTTAAAAAAATATTATATTGGCTATTTTATATCCATAAAGTTTCCACTTTGTACATCAGAGTCCCTTTATTATTTCAAGGTATTTTTTTTCTTTTATATTTGATATCGGCTTACATTTGTTCTAATGTTGTCATATAAAAATAAATCTGTAAACTTTTCTCACCTGTTATAACTTCATTATTTACATTCTATTAATTCTAATTTTGTCTCACTTTGACTAAACAAACATTACTGTAACCAACACTTTTGCATTATGAGAGACCTAGTCACATACTGTTACACACTACAGGATTGGCACAACTGGCAGATATTGGGTTTATATAAGCCTATAACAGCTTACCGAGATATAACGTATTCAGGCGAATACTTATATTTGATGAATAATTCACCCCAAGCTCCTGCCTCAGTCTTCATAGTTGCATAGTGGTCTATGAAGCACAAATCAGCCAGGTCGCAATCGTTTACTTCTCTCTGTATGCATACTACACACCTACCTCTCTTTTAACACTTACACACACCCTCAACAACATTCAGTCTCCTTCATAATAATAAGACAATAGTCATAAATTAGATATGATTACAACATACATTTCCTGAAATATATGACTTTGTGTTAAGAAGTATCCAAGTAATTTAAGTGTGAGGTAAATAATATTGTCGTGTATTTTTTCAAAATAAACATTTATTCAACCAGAATAAGTTACCTATCATCATGCCTCCCAACTTTGTGAAATATGTGATCAGGCCCATCAAGGGAGGGCTTTGGGGGTGCGTCACTAACAATACACAAGTGAGCAGGCAGGCATTGCCAACCATTTTCAGTCCATAGTAAGGGCATGTCACTCCGGTGTGGATACGCACCAGACTGAATTACAGCTTGGTGGCCGGCCCGACTTAGGGCAAACCATGTACAGATGCTTAAGCCTTCTGCATGGTTCTAGTGCCCTCCCTCAGCTTGAAGTTGTGCTATGCTGGTTGGGTACAATTTCCTGAACATTAGGAAACATAATTAAGAAGGCGGGACAGGACACCATAAGTTAATCATTTTGGAGGCCTGTATCTGGGGTGACATTTCACAAAATTAAATTACTAGGAAGTAAATCAAGATCAGGGCTGCTATCAGAAATACACAGCTCAAGGTCTAGGCCCATTGGGGCTCACCCCCGAGTCTGCCCACAGGGCTCTCCCTGCATCTGCCCACAAGAATGCAGTGTGTGTAGAATGGATGCAGTGTGTATAGAGTGAATGCAGTGTGTTTACTGTTGGTGTAGAGTGTGTGTAGTGCATGCAGAGTGCGGGTGTTTAATGAATCGAGTCTATGTGTGTGTAGCGGATGCAGTATGTGTATAGTGGATGCAGTGTATATTTAATTGTTGCAGACTGTGTGCGGGTGTGTAGTGGATGCAGTAGATGTGTAGTGAATGCAGTTTGTGTGTAGTGGATGTAGATGGTGTGTGTAGAGTGGATGTAGTGTGTGTAGTGGATGCAGTGTGTGTGTTTGTGTAGTGGATGCAGTGTGTGTGTATTGGATTCAGTGTGTGTGTGTGTGTGTGTGTGTGTTTGTGAATATGTCAGATAGGATAGGGGCTGCATTCTGTGGGCAAAAAGCATTTTTTCCTTATTCATGTTTTTAAAATAATTTACATTTTATTCCCATCTCCATGCCTCTTACCTGTGGCCAGGGAGGAAGGGACAGGTAAGAGGCAGGGAGATGGGTCCAGTGGCATTGTGCAGGCTGCAAGCTGCATTTTTAGTGAAGAGGGGGCCCTACACACTCGATCTTCAGTTTTCAGCAGCTCCTCTCGCTCTCTCTCTTGACCCCGGCCTATGTGCCGTGGTAATGCTCTGATGGCTGAACAGTCTCTCCCTGAACAGTCCGAGCCCTGATGGTGGCCCTGTGTTGGAATCCAACACTAAATAAGCAGGAATGAAGGTGATAATCATTTAAATCGGATACTTTAGTTGGAAGTAAAATTCTACTCAGGAAGCTGTCTCACATTTTTATGATTCTCCTTTAAGATTAAGTATGTTCTCAATGTAAAAAAAAATAAAAAATTTTGTTGATTATGTGAGCTTGCAAGTGTTATTGCCATTTAGTGAATTTATATTATATATTTTATCTCACAGTATTTTATACAGAGTTATCTATTTCCTAGGTAGCTGAAGCAAGTGAAGATAACTCGGCTGAAAGCAGAACTAGTTCTTTTGTGTAATGTGATTTTTGTAATTTTTTTTTTTAATGAACAAATAAAAAAAGATACAAATCAAAGCATATGACAGAGATAATAAATTACAGCACATTCAGTCTTCCAGGCCCCGAAGATTACAGGATATCAGGATATGTCCACCTTAACCTCTTCCTTAGAGGCAATATGGCAGTATCCCCCTATCACCTGCTATGAAAGGGATCCTTAATATTTGGGGAGGATATATAAAAAAATGAATAAAACTGTGCTCAGTACTATTCTACAGCTGAACCCACATGGCCATCCACATCATTATTTTGAACATTTCTGTGTTTTGTATTATTATATTGTCAACTATCAATTAACCCAATTTATTTTACATTTATTGCTTAATTTGTCTAGATGGAATTTTCATTTTCAAGAATATTTACACCTCTTTGTGGCGGCTACTTGTTTTCTTGATTGTTCTAGAGCTATTTACATAAAGTTTCACAGCTGTTCCTTCATAATGATTGGGGCAGCCAGATGACCTGGATGTAGTACAATCCTGAGAAACAACATGAAAGATATACTTTTCCTGTTATTGCATATTATTCTGAAGCCTTTCAGGGGAAATATCCTGACATCATGTATTGCCGGAAGAACAGAAATGTGTACATATGAATCAGAGTACAAAGTGGCCATCTGTTCTTCAAAGTATCAAACATTTACATATGTTTAAGCAAACTTAATATTTGACCCAATTTTTACACATAATTCAACTCTTCACATCTTGGACTTTGTACATATTCATATCTCTTACAATTCAAAACATTTTCAATGGTTCTTTCTTCACTGGTCATTCCTACACAAACGATTCTTCAACCACAATACAGGTTTTCTTCTTGGTTTCTCCAGAGGTGTCTGCTCCTGAAAGATGGGAGTCCTCCATTCTGCTATCTATTACTTTTTGTTCCAAAGTCTCTTCTTGAGAAGAGCTACTAGATTGTTCGTCACTGTGCTTAAAGTACTCCCTCACAGTGTTTCTTACAGACGTTGGTAATATAATGCGAATAGTTTGAGTAAAGGAGGCAATGGACTTGCCATGACTTCTTTTTACTTCTGAATCTTTAATAGTATCCTCAGTGTCAACTTTCTCTAAAATCTGTACACCATTTAAGTCTTTGTCCACACAAACCAAAGGGCAGTCCTCGGCTTGCTCTGTGTTGTCAGTTAATGTTGTCTTTGTAGGAGATGGACTTTTGACATGTTTTAGTTGTGTTTGCCAATGTGGTTTTTCTAAATCGGAGTGCTGCCTCCTGGAAACTGAATGCAAAACAAGTGGGGCATTTTGGCCATAGAACACAGTCTGGGGTATTTGGGGTTTCACTGATTGAGTGTCTGAGCCTTCTATACCCATATTTTCATTTTGACCATTTTGGTTATTTGCTGGAATAATATTTGGAGGCATAAAAAGCATGACTCTTGTGCTCTTCAGACTGTCATCATTGGAAGACTCTTGTCTCCTTATCTCTACATGCTTTATGGAAGTCTCCTTGCGCACACAGTGTCCATTCTCTGCTTTGACTTCAATATATTTGGTTTCTGGTTTTGTTTCCAAAGAAATAGAGCCAGTTTCAGATTGTACAGAACAGTGTACATCACAGTCTAAGGATTTTCTAGAAATGTTGTCGAGAGTATTTCTTTGTATTATAGCCTCACTGGTGAGTTCATCATTCACTATTTCATTGGTTTTATCACTAGATATCTCCTGCCTCTCACCTAAATCTAGACCACATGGAGTGTCAGCAAAAAGTGTAGACAAGGGAAGGTGCCACTCTTTCAATTTCTTTTTAGAGATCTCTGGGGACAATGTATGCAGTCGAGCTGATGTTCCAAACATGAATGGTAATGAAGTGACATCAGTAGGGCTGAATACAGATGACTCTGAACAGTAAGAAAAAGCGCTGTCTAGGGAACTTAAGGAAGAGACTGACGGAGAGGTGGTGGTGGAAGACAGACTTGAATAGCTTGATCTGCTAGAAGGTGCTAAATTTTGTGTCGTCTTCTTCTGTCTGCAGCTGGGCTGAGGGGATCTCCTAATGGTACGCTTGTTCATGGCTGAGTTAAGCTCTGTATTTAACAGTTTCTTAGTTTCCAGCTGAAGCTGCTTTAGTTGATTGATGTATTCAATATGGTTGTGCATAATGGTGGCATCGCAGCTAGACTGACGAGCGACAGGTTCATGATCCGGTGCACAGATCTTGGAACTGAGGCATACACTCGGCTCAGAGGAACATCTGTCCCGGGATGGGTTAAGACAGCATGCAGAGTTTAAACAGCTGAATGGATCTTTGTTGAAACACTCCAAGGAGTCCATCCTGGTTTTACTTTGATAACAGGCAGCTATTTCACTGAAAAGATCCCAGTCTTCCCTTTCATCCATTAGCAATGACTCATCAAACATCCCATCTGTGTCTTTCAACAGGTTCGGATCTGACTTATCCAAGTCTGAAGCTGTAAATTCAAGTTCATCTGATGAATCCTGTCCATGGATTATGCCTATACATATTAAAAAAAAGCATTATGAGTCACTGGATACATACACTAAGCATGCACAATTATTTTTTAATTTACTGACAAGTTTTTACAAGATAATAAAGTATTAAATACTAAAATTTACCTTAATGATTGTACTAAAATATAACATTTATGGACATTTTATTGTTATATATATATATATATATATATATATATATATATATATATATATTGTAATTTAATATATGTTGCTAGCAAATGTAAAAGGAGCCTGAAAGATTAGTTTTGTTCATTTTGTAATTTTAAAAAAAATTATAATTGTACCTGATTATTTTTTTAAAATGTTTTAATTGAAACTGTGCCCTGCAGTAATAGAATTGAATCTATGCAATCACTAGATGTTTAGCTATAGCAGACCCTCTTATTTGTGATTTGTGAATGATTCACTACAGCCACTGTCCTTTATCCTTTGAATTTTGTTGTCTAATATCAGAAGGTTCTTTTGAACATCATAAGTATCTCGCTTACCTGATAAATCTTCAATGCTTGTTGCTGGATCTTTGTCAGGTTTTCTAAATAATGATGCTACATCTTGCCCAAATATGAGTTGGTAATTCTCAATTATAAATTGCACTAAAATAGCTACCTAGATAAACAATAAAAAAAATCTAAATATATATGTAATCATTTTCTGAAACAAAACCCCATAAAATATAGATTAGGGAAAAAAATAATCTGAAGTTTAGGAGAAAAATAATGTACACATAGAAACAAAAAAAAAATATATAAACATTTAGGCGTGGGTGTTAGTTTAGGAGCTATTTTTAAAAGTTTCATCAAGCTGATAAAGAAAATCAGTTAATGTTAAATATAGTCAGTCTCTTAATGAGTCTAGAAGTGAAGGAAATCCTTAAAAGAGAACACAGTGTGCAGGCATTCTAAAGTTTCAGTGTAATTCAAAAATGGACAACACAAGGCAGACACCAGCCAAAATGTTCTGAGTACTGTGAAAGGAATTCACTGTTCCGCATATTGCGGAAATATTTCTACAATTAAAAATGTTTGAGTACAAGATGGAAAATATACAAGGTCATCATACAGCAAGTGCAAAGAGAACTTGTAATCTATTTATATTTTGTTATCTTTTATTGTAACTGTTTAAACAAAGACCCGAAGGAGAATGGGATATGGGTTTAGAGGGAAAATGATTAAACCAAATCTAATTTTACTGACAGTTGTCGAGGCACCCAACAATGACTATCAGTGATCACCATTTTGCAATTAATATTGGGGAAGGTTTTGTAATTAAAAATTTTTTAAACATTCTTTATAAAACAGATTATTGTGTGTGAATAATAGTAATAAGAATGCAGAAGTTTGAATTGATTATATGGTTACCTTTTTAGTCGATTTGGTCTCTTCTTCAGGGTCGCTGGGTGTAGGCAACCATAATATATTGGGTGCTATGCAGAGAGCCAGATTGAAAGCTGTCATTTGGTTTTCTTCAGAATTCTCATTAATGTGATAGAGAACGGCAAACAAATGTTGGAGTAGCACAGCATTGGCATCTGGAAGCTGCTCCACCAGCCTGAAGCAAAGGATAGTGTTGTTTTATTTCACCATTATTATTTCTTTTTAAATAGTAGTACATCATGAAAGACAATTATACACGAAATACCCAGACAAAATTTGTTTATTTTTGATTTGATATAATATTTACACCATTGTCATCAGTTATTTAAAAATAAATCAGATTGTGTTGGTCTTCAAGTGACAATATAGTCACCAGAACAACTACAGCTTATTGTATTTGTTCTGGTGAGCATAATCAGTCCCTTCAGGCTTTTTGCAGTAAACACTGTCTTTTCAGAGAAAATGCAGTGTTTACATGACACCCTAGGGATGCCTCCAGTGGACAATCCTCACATGGCAACTAGAAGTGCTCCCTGAGGCAGTGCTGCACAGTGTGCAACACTGCCATTTAGTGCCTCCACCCTCTGCATGGAAACATTGAACTTTCCTCATAGAGATGCATTGATTCAATGCAACTATGAATAGATGCTGATTGGCCAGGGCTGTGTTTCGCTTGTGCTGGCTCTGCCCTGATCTGCTTCCTTGACAGGCTCAGCCAATCCGATGCTGATTTTACTATATTTCAGAGGGCAAGAGATGGTCAAAGGGCCTAGATGTTGTATTTGACACAATAAGTTTAGGAATACATGTTTGTGTTCCTGACCCTATAGTGATTGTATATTTGTAGCCTAATTTCTTATTGAGTTTTTATTCATCACAAATGGACGTGCGATATTTGCAATATTTTAACAAGCAAGAGGAAAAATTTACACCATTATTTCTTAAGTTGGTAAAACAATTCAGTTGTCTGCTTGTAAATCCTAAACTCACAATTTTGTATGATGTCCCCATTTTATTGGGGATTAGACATGTATGCTAAGTTGACCAGTAGTCACTGATGCACTAGGGGAAAAACATATGCCGCACACTTGTCCTAATACTAATAAACATTGCGTCCATCGTGGTTTTCTCCCCATGGGGACACACAATTCTTCAGCTTTATAGGAAATGTTGAAGTGGATAATTCGTTATGTTTCAAACTGTTTAAAGTCCTATTGAATAAACTCAACAGCCCTAATTCTCATTTGGCTGATAGTTCCTATCAAGTTCAGCTGCACACAGGAACTAACTTTGGAAAGAAGATTGAACTCAGTATGGTTTCAGCAGCTACAGCATCCAGCAGGGATGAAATCTCATCCTGCCCCAGGATTTACAGCACTGTATACCCACAAGGTAGGTTGTCAAACTAATATGCAATGATTTACAATATCAGGACTGAGCTTAGAGTTGCCTACAATTTAGTCATAGACTATTGAACATGTAACAGCTTGTGATAAACACCCCTAACACACCTTACACACCGACACAGACTGCACCACTTACACACACATTGCACACCTCCACACAGCACCCCTTACACACACCTTACACACACGCATAGCACCCACTATACACACATACACACTGCACCCCTCCTACACAAACTGCACCACTTACACACAAAGACGCTGCACCACACACACACACTGCACTCCTTACACACAGACTGCAGCCCACACGCACACTGCACCCCACACACACCTTACACACATAGACTACACCCCTCACACACATACTGCACCACACACACTGCACTTCTCACATATGCACATTGCACCTCTTACACACCGGGTGCACCCTTCACACACACACACACACTGGACCCCTCACACACAGTGCACCCATCACACACACTGCACCCCTCAAACACAAATTGAAACCCCTCACACACACCTTGCACCACTACACACATTACATTCCAGACACACACACACTAGAACCCCTGCACAACTATGGATCCTCTACACACACTAGCATGCCTATACACACTCCGAATCCTCTACACACACACACTAAATCTCTTATGCACACTGTGGGTCCTCCACGCATACAATAGATCCCCTTATAGGCACACACTGCACCACCTACACACACATATGCACAAATGACATATGCACTCGGGATCCCCTGTGCAATCCCCTGTGCACAAACTAAATCCCCTGTAAGCAATTGCATAATACAGTCTCTAAACATACACACTTTACAACCCCTACTCATACTACATAACCTATACACACATATACTACAGCCCCTATGCACACACTCGCTACATCCCCTATATACACTATGCCCTCTATACACACACATTCTCTCTTACTCTCTCCAGCCCTAGCCTCACATATTATACCACAAATGCAAGATAACTGAAACTGGCCTATTTACACAAAACACCACACACACGCAATCCCACAAGCTTCCTCCAAACACATGCACAATACGTTTTACTGGCAATTATGCCCACTGGTATCCCACTTATGGAGACAGCAGAGACAAGTCATAAGCTAACACAGCACAAGCATGTTAATAAATGTCCTTATGCTGCACAGAACAACCACAGGGCCTTTTTCTCATGCGAAAGCACATCAGCAGGGCTCTCCACAGTGGCTCTGCGCATGGGCTGCCCTGGAAGAGCATTGAACCAACATGCTCACTTTGAAATGGGGAGTGCTTGTCATTAGTGATGACAAAACACCTCAGCGGATGGATGGATGGATGGATAGATAGATAGATAGATAGATCTTTTCTGCATATACAGTATATTTAGACATTTTGTTTAGAATTATGATAATGTAAACAAGAATATTAACAAGAAAGCAAAATATGTGTGTCTCCAGATTTTTTGTAATCTTAAAGTGATATACTGACCTTTTAATAGTTTCAATCTTATATTCATGATTTTCCATTTCTGTAACCTCCATCCACAGTCCGTGCATGTCTGAGGATAGAATACTGTCAGGTATATTGCGCAGAAAATCCTAAATCAAATACACACATATAGTATGATTGTCAGATGGTCGGGAAACAGATGGACACTTTTCATTTCACACTCACTGATCCAACAAACAGACATTTCCATAAATATAATAAAGTATGTAAATTGTTCTGAAAAATTAGACCTGCATGGCTTAACCAATTACTATACATTATAAAGCCAGGAGATACACATCGGTTACACTTATAATCTGGTTTAGAACTATCGATGGTACCTACAATAATAAGAAGCACAATTAATTCTCTTGTTAGATTGATTATTAATTCTTAGAACTGGTAAACACTATATACTATACCACTGTAACACTGGTATAACACTATACCATATCACTTTCCTTGCTCTGCTCGTTTGATATAATAGTATAAGTACTTCTAAAGCATAGTTGACAAAAACAATATAGCATGGCAAAGTATAGCAGAGAATGGCATAGCATGATATAGTATAGTACAGTATAGAATAGCATAAACATATCATTATATAGTATAGCATAGTATAGAAAATTATACAATACTATAGTATAGTATATATAACTAAACAATAAATAAAAATGCAAGAATAGAAATAAATAACAGGGTCTTGGCTTTTCTCTGAAATATGTTTCACCGTGTAGACCTTTTTTTCTCTTTCTCTCTAATTCCACTTCTACAAATTACGATAAAAAGGTCAAGATTGATGATTTTGTATTTTTTTTAAATTCTTTATTTTTGTAGTGCTAGGTAGGTACAAGATCAGTTATTTCCCATTGACATGAGAATGCGTTTACAAGATAACAGTCTGTTCATTATAGATCGGTTCCACATGTCATTTTAACAGCACTGTATTTTTTTTTAATAAAACAAGTTAGCTTACATGCAACAAAAACCTGGAGCTTAGAATGAGATTTGTATTACTGGTAATCTAGATCAGGTTTGGGATGTATGTTATGCATGTTTAGGGTGTATGCATAATTGTTCAATGTGGAAGAATTCAGGTGGGAGAATGTTAGACTAGCGGAGTGTGGGGTCAGGTGATTTAGCAAGGCTTGTGCCGTGAGGTAGCATGGGGGTGCTGGTCCTGACAGTTGTGCCTGGCGTTACCTCTGTAAATAATATGAGATGGGATGAGATGTGACCCTAACCGAGGGGGCCACGGGGGGAGGGATGGTATGTAAGTAAAGTGGCTTGCCAGCGTTAAAGTAGGATGTGGTCTCTGGGCCGTTATGGTCCGGTGTGTGCTAGGAGGGTCTCGTCTGCTCCACTGCCCTTATGTGTTGGGTTGCATAGGGCGATTTTCCAGAGGTGTGTGGGAGGTGTGTAACAGGAGAAGACTGCTAGAGCAGAACACAAACTGTAACTATGCACAATTATACATGTCAGTATCAGCAGCTTTAGTCAGTTGTTGAGGGAGTCCATGCCTCCTGCTGCCGGCACAAAGGGCGCTATGTTTGCCGGATCCCAGTTGTGTTGTGACGCCTGGGGAGTTTCGCTGGGGTGAGGTACCAAAAGTCCCAATGTGGTGAGGAGTCTTGATGCTTCCAATGCAGAGTTGATTTTGTGCTCGGTTGCATCTTGGGTCACTAGAAGGGATCGAGTTGTTCCCAATCTGTACCTCACTCCTGCTGTGTGCAGCTTAAGTGTGCTTTTCTGGAGGGATCTGCGCCATTGCAGAGTTGCTCTCGTTAGGTCTTGATATACTGATAGCTGTGCGCCCTCAAAGGTGAATGGCGTCTTGCCCCGCATTGCAGCCATGAGGAGCCCCTTGTCTTGCGAGAATTTGCAACGTAAAATAACGTCCCGTGGGGTAGCTGTGGCTCGCGCTGTTGCGTCAGGGAGTCGGTATAGCCCATCCATAGTAAAACTTTTAGCTGCCTGTGGGGGTAGCACTGTTGCCACCAGCCGCCGCAGAAAGTGGGGCAATTCGTCCGCCGTGACCACCGCTGAGATGCCGCGGATTTTTATATTGTTGCGTCTCTGATGATCTTCGAGGGCAGACAGCTGTGAGGTAAATATAAGCTGGGTAGATTGTACCTTGAGGAGTGTTTCCTTCATGACAGAAACCTCTGCTCTAATATCTGACACTTCCTCCTCCGCGGCCCTCAAGCGGACTGTCACCTGCTGTGCAACCTTCTTGATCACTGCTATGTCCACAGCCCACAGTTTTTGTATGTCCAGGAGCAGTGTTTGGAGGTCTTGCTTGGTGGAAAGTGTTCCCACCAAGGAGTCAAGGTTTGTGGTTGCTACAGAGCCTTGGGTTTGGTGACTCTGGAGGGGCCGGCATGACGACACCTTCCTCGGCCATCATCTCGGGCTGCGGCTGCTTTTGTAGCATGGTGCTGATGTCTTTGGAGTCGGACCCTGTACCGGGTGAGGCTTTCTTGTTTCTGCGCCTCATGGTGGGTGTACCGTTTGTGGTTTCAGGTCTCTTCTGGGTTGGGGCAGTTGTTGCACTTTCGAGCGGTGCTCCGCCGAGTAGTGAGTGCCAGCCGAAGAAGGCCGTTGCTCTGTAGGCCCCAGACCTGCGTTTCTGTTTTGCCGGCTTCTGGGCGTGAAAGAAAGGCATGTATGCACTCCAGTGCTTGTGAAATATCACTTGCGGGGTGTGTTGCTCTAGGATGATGCCGGTATTGATCAGGATTGATAAGATTAGCTCTGGGCTATCGGGAGCTGATAGAGATGGCGTCCGATCAGGCTCGCTGGCAAGCTCCGCCCCCCATGATTTTGTATTTTTAACCAAATATGGATTCATTGTTTTTCAACACAGTAGTTTATCTATAGAGCAAGTAATATTTTTAAATGTTTTTTACAATTGTACTGCTAAGCACTCCACTTTTAAAGCCACATGAAACATTTTCAGCAATTTGAGCTACTGCAGTTCTTCTGTATGGTTGCACATATAGGCAATCCTTTGCTCCTCCTGTGCATCATTAAGCCTTAGGCACCCATGATCTTAACCCTGGTCCTTTCTTGCCCCACTGCAATCCTGGGAACACATCACAAGACATGCCATTTTTTAAATGCCCTGACTCAGTCATCTAGGCCCTTGTCTAAGCCTCTTTCACTTGTCCATTGTTCCTGCTTCCAACATATGAAATTCAAGAACTGACTGTTCACTTGCTGCCTAATATATCCCACCCCTTGACAGGTGCCACTGTAACGCTATAATACGTTATTGTCTTCAGCTGGCAGTGGGTTTAATGCTGTGGCTGATCAGTGTATAGTATACTATAACATAACATTGTATAGTATGGCAAAGTATAGTATAGTAAAACATATTATAGTACAATATAGCACAGTAGAATATAGTATAGTATAATACAGAATAGCATTATCTAGCATTATCTAGTATGTAGATTAAGAGTGCAAGCTTATTGGAGACCTCTCAGGTATCTAAATCTACATAGCTAACCAATAAATGTTTCGAGTTTACACTACCGTATCTTGTACCACTAACTAATAGTTACCACTCTCTACTTCTAGCTATTATAAAACTAATTTACACTGGGACAGTTTTTTCTTTTACCATACAGTTTAACATACAGAGTATCTATTGCACCAGACACTATTGAATTCATTATGTAATAAAGAATCTGGTAAGGGCCATAAATAAAATCCCTGGAATCAGAAGAGGGCCTGGGGCCGCCGGCTGTTGCTGGCTCTTTGTTAATTAATGTATGTTTTATACTGGATATGGTATGTTTTACTTCTAATGAACATTACAGAAGTTCTTTTGGTTGTTTAATATTTCTGTCAAGTTACTTTGAGTGGATTCTTTCCCACATTTTGATTGCCACACAAAAGTATATTAAACATCTCATATTTTCATGCATGTAACTCCCTGGCAGATGTTTACAAGGCACTTAAAAGAATTCTTATTCATTTGCTGTTGAGTCCATGACATTCTTTGTATAATTTCCAGAGGCACCTAAGGGTTTTTTTCCAGTTCCACAAAAGAGCAAGACACAGTGTGGTTATAAATGATGATGTTAAATAAATAGCAACATGTACTAATAAATACACTAGTATCTTCTATAAATGTTAAGTTTTGCCATGTCAGCCTGCTCAGCCCAAATTGTATATAAAATATATAATGGTCCAGCATTCCTGATATGATATCTCCATTTATTTAAGGGAACAGGACACAAATTGACAATGTTTCAGTCAAAAGTCCTTTGTCAAGTGCTTAGCCAAAACGTTGTTAAGTTGCATGCTGTTACCTTAAATAAACGGAAAGCTTGTATCTGTAGTGTAGGTACTTCTTTGCTTACTCATCTGATGTTCTGTATATATTAAGGTACTTCTTAAGGTACTCATCTGATGTTCTATATATATTAAGGTACTTATTAAGGTACTCATCTGATGTTCTATATATATTAAGGTACTTATTAAGGTACTCATCTGATGTTCTATATATATTAAGGTACTTATTAAGGTACTCATCTGATGTTCAAATTTGAAATGTTGACATTTTCAGTGTTCCGGGGTTCAGTAGTCAGAATAATAAAACCAGAATTATGTTCTTAAACTTGAGCAATCCCAAAGGGTATCAGCAAGAGGAAACCACTGACCCCCAATTATATAATTTATATGTATGTGAACAGGTTGTTAATCCAAGATGAAATCTGATTGCCATTATGGAGTCAAGAAGGATTTTTTTCCCTTTTTGTGGCATAATTGGAAATGGCTAAAAATTTTTTTTTTTTTTTTGCCTTCTTTTGGATTCTTTTGGATTAACAGCACATAACCGTGGGTTTTAAGGTTGACATTGATTAACTTCAGTCTTTTTTTAAGCCTAGACTGCTATGTTACTATGAAATTAATCCACTTTCCTCTAACTTGATACATGTCAAAAAACTCTTTGGGGTCATTGATATCATTAAAATGATTCACACAGAGTAAGATTACAGAGTAAATTGGGACACAGAGTAAGAATAAGAGAAAAAACCCTACAATAGGCCATTGGGAACTAAAATGGTAAGTATGTACCGTTATCACAGCTGCTGCAACGAACACCGACTCTCTGTCTATCTGAACATCATTCCCAGAGATCAGCTTCTCCTTCAGTTCTTTGCAAGTTTTAGCGTTGGCTGAACGTCGGAAAATCCCCTTGGTGTTTGGACCTTCCTCGTACAACAGCATAAGCATATCCTAAACAAATGATAAACAATTAGTTCTCTCTCATACAAAGTGTACGTTCAATGGCAGCATTACATCTGAGTGCTAGCTGCCAAGCAATTAGCTGACACGATCAGTGAACAAATGTTTTAAAATACACTCAGAACTTTTTTTCCATGCTAAGAAACTGCCAGATCAGTTCTCTCTTATGGATTTATTTTTTGTTTTTGATTTACAAGGCACATGCCTGGTTTATAGCCTGTTCAGTTGGAGTTTATACCTTATTTACATCAAGCCTCTGACCTCTGAAATTAAAGGGACTCAACAGACCACTAAAGCACTTCTGCTTGTTAAAGTGCTAAAGGGGTTAACTGCATCTCACCCATATCTCCGTTTATAAAAGTGTCGATTTAACAGCATGTATTTAATATGTCAGAACCATTAAATGTCTTATCAAGAACCGATAACCTACTGATAAAGATTATCAACTCTAATTAAATTAAGGCTTTTGTGGGCAGAGTTTAATTTTAGAGTGAGTAGTGATTTAACACCTTAAGTCTTGAGCTACTATTTATGGGTAAGCTGAAGCAGAGAGATTAGTGGAGTCTGGAGATGGGGAATTCTGAAATTCTGCTCATCTACTCACTAAGAAAAACCCAGAGAGCAAATTAAAATATGTTTATATATAGACTTAAATTAGCAACATGGATGTCAAGGTATATAATGAAAAGTATTCATAATGAATCATCATAGGAATGGTAATATTGATTAAATGAAATGCAATTATTTCCTTTTTATAAATAATATATATTTTGTTCCCCCAGGATGGAAATTTAAAGCAGACTGCTCAAGGTGTAAGATAATAAAATGTATTATTTCTTACCATTATGGGTTTGGGAAGATTGCCATTGAGGCAAATAGTTGACAGGGACAAGCCAAAGAGTTTTCGAGGAGTGTTTGGTGATTGAGGGACACGGCTGCTCAGAGTGGTGCTCCCAGTACGTCGAAGAGCCCAGTCAATCAGGGACTTTTTTCTTCTGGAATGTTTTTGCACTGATTCTGTAGGACAAGAATACAACGTTTTATCATCCATGTTTGCTGTGAATTTCTCATAGATACGAAGATATGGGGTTATGCAATATGGTCAACACTGGGATAATACATTAACAGCTCTGCGTTACCAAGATTTAGTAAGGATGTACATTTTATAAAATGGTTTTATAACATGCCAGAACTACTCAAAAGTCAATAGCCCTACAGCTCTATGTGCAAATGTTTGGACATCCATGACAAAATAAAATGTTTAGTTTATTTCTAAATGAAAAGAAGTTAACACTCCTCTTCTGTGATTGTAGCTAAAACACTTAATTCAACAAATGCCAGCATTTGGTTCCAAAATACCTCTAGATTATACATGGGTTGAATATTGTGATTGGGAGTAAATGTTTCCTTTTGCTGACCTTTCCATGCAAATCATGTTTGTGCATCTGTGGAAATGTCCCCTTTAGAAAGGACTATAGAGTTAGTGTAGACCAGCATTTCAAAATTGGGGATCCGCCGTAATTTCGGCAAACAAAATGGCCGCTGCGATTTGACCCGGTCGGGTGCAGCTGATAATTGACGTGGGCGGTGAGGGAGCACTCTCCCCTGTTCAGCTTCCTCGAGCCTACCGCAGTGATGCCGGAGTGATGCCGGAGCTGAAATATGACGTCACTTCAGCCTTGGCATCACTAAGAGGCACGTGAGGGAGCTGAGCAGGAAGATCACTGTTCCCTCGCTGCCCGCACTGTACACCTGCACGCCAGCTGTTCAGCCCAGCAGCCCCACTGGACCCCAGGGACCACACGCCAGCAGCCCCACTGGTCCCTGGGGAAATAGAAACTGCATGCCAGCACTCCCAAAGGTAGGGAGGTTGGGTGGAGTGAAATTTAAAAATATAAATAAATTGTGTGTTGTCAGTAAGTGTGTTTGTCACTGAGAGTGTATGTGTGTTTGTCAGTGAGTGTGTGTGTGTGCTTGTCAGTGAGAGTGCCTGTGTGCTAGTCAGTGTGTGTATCTGTGTGTCAAGGTTTGTGTATGTGTCACTGTGTGTATCTGAGTGTGTGTGCGTGTGTGTGTGTGTGTGCATGTCAGTGTTTGTCAGTGATTGTGTGTGTATGTGTGTTTGTCAGTGAGTGTGTATGTGTGCTTTTCAGTGAGAGTGCATGTGTGCTTGTCAGTGAGAGGGCATGTGTGCTTGTCAGTGTGTGTGTATGTGTGTCTGTCAAAGAGTATGTGTGTCTGAGTGTGTGTCAGTGTGTGTATCTGTGTGTCAAGGTTTGTGTATGTGTCACTGTGTGTATCTGAGTGTGTGTGTGTGTGTGTGTGTGTGCATGTCAGTATGTGTGTATTGGTGTGTGTGTGTATGTTCCAGTGTGTATCTCTGTTTCAAGGTGTGTATCTTTGTGTCTGTGTGTATATGTCAGTGTGTATATGAATGTGTGTGTGCAGGGACGTTTTAGCCGCGAGGCAAACAAGGCATTTGCCTTTGGCGGCATTTACCAGGGGGCAGCAAAAAAAGCCGCCCCCAAATGCCCAGGGCAAATGCCTTGTTAGCCTTGCGGCTAACAGTCCAGGCAGGTGGGTGGCGCTGGCGAGGGAGCACTGATTAGTGAGCTCTCTGCTCAGCTCCCTTGCTCGCCGTCCACAGAGTGAGGCTGGGAGCCGGAATATGACATCATATTCCGGCTCCCAGCCTCACTCTGCGGGCGGAGCGTGAGGGAGCTGAGCAGAGAGCTCAGGGGAAAGTGCTCCCTCACCAGCGACACCCACCCGACCAGCATCCCAGCAGCCAAGCAGCCACTCGACTCCCAGGGAATGGGAGAACCCGCCCCCCACCCAGCATTCCCAAAGGTAAGGAGGCTGGGGGGGTTAAATTAAAAAAAAGTGAGTGTTTTAATGTTAGTTAGTGTGTGTGTGTCTGACTGTGTGTGTCTGTTAGTGTGTGTGTTAGTGAGTGTGTGTGTGTCTGTTAGTGAGTGTGTCTGTTAGTGTGTGTGTGTCTGTTAGTGTGTGTGTCTGACTGTGTGTGTGTCTGTTAGTGTGTATGTGTTAGTGAGTGTATGTGTGTGTCTGTTAGTGTGTGTGTCTGTTAGTGTGTGTCTATTAGTGTGTGTGTGTCTGTTAGTGAGTGTATGTTTCTGTTAGCTAGTGTATGCGTATCTGTCAGTGAATGAGTGTGTGTGTGTGTATTTAGAAGGTAGGGCGGGGGGAAGGGTTGGGTGGGGGTGGTGCGGGGTCTGAGTTTTGTCCTGATACACCACTGTGTTTATGTGTCAATGTTCTTATATGTGTGTCTGTGTGTTAATTTGCTTGTGTATGTATGTACATGGCATACGTACAGCAATCATATGTGCATACATCCCAGCAATTAAACATCATCCATGCAATCAAACACATATATGTGCATACATCCCAGCAATCAAACACCAACACAACATGCAAAACACTCCTGAAAACACAAACATTACATACAAAAAACCCTGGATTCAAATTTCAAATTTATATACAAACACTCAAACACTAATACTACACACAAATGCACACACGCATTTAAAAGCTAACATTACATCCAAGCACACCCCTGCACGCAAATGCAAATATTACATACAAACACACCCCTACACGCAAATGCAAACATTACATACAAACACAGACATCAAAACGCTAACATTATATACAAACACCAACTGTACACACAAAAGCACACCTGCTCCTAAATACTACTATCGGTTTACTAATTGGGAACCCCTGGTGTAGACAATGAAGGTTCTGAGACCTTACTAAAAAAAGTAACTAGTGAATAACTAAAAGGGTTCCAAAATGTTTGTACATGCCATATTTACTGTTTTATTTTTTATATCAATTAAAATCAGCAAATAAATAACATCTATGTATTGAAATATAAAGATATATGTTGAGTTTTCAGTTGCTCACAAACTATGTTATTCGGTCAGGGATGCTCCAACGTTTGCATAAAATTCAGTGTCTATGTCTTCACTATGTCCATACCACTGGTCTCGATCTACATGAATCAAATCACAGAGCAGTATAAGTGGTCAGGAAGAGGAATTAAATGAATTTTTACGTAAAGTGATAAGAAGTATCCACTGTAATACACTCATTGCACCAGCTATTCACCACCTCAGCAATTCCTGCTTAGTAATACATATATAAAGTAAAATTCATTGACTTTCAAACACACATTTTCTACATGTATCAGTATTTGGAATTGCTGTTACCCAGGCGTGCTCTCTGGATCTGTGCCTCTGGGAGATGCAAGATGTCAATGCCCAGAGACATAACAGAGAGAACTGATTTAACAGAAGGGTTGCTGTTTTGGCCTGTTTAGAGCTGTTTTTTAAGCTGAAACACTGAAGAATCTGACTCTGAAATACCCAGAACTGTTCTTTTGCTAAAAGCTGAATGTTTTTTTTCATTTGTAACAAAAACGCTTGCAACTAACTGTGAGAAAAAAAAAACTAAAATGTCAGAGTGCAAACAGAAAATTCCAGCAAAACAGCAAATAGCTTAAATCAACTCTATAATGTCAGGAATACAAACATGCATTCCTGACACTATAGTCCTTAAGTAGCTGTTTAGGTGACCGGCCTCTCTATCAATCTCAGTACTTAGTGCTTTTACTCACCTTTTCTCCCATTCTTCGCCAGTCTCGCCGCGGCTAACTCCACCTTCATCGTCTAGAATAGATTATCATAGGAAAGCATTGGGAGTCTATGGCCGCACTGCACCAATCAGCATCTTCTCCTAGAGATACATTGAATCAATGCACCTCTATTGGAAACGTTCTATGTCTCCATGCAGAACATGGACACGCTGAACATACGTACTGTGCAGCACTGGACTAGAAAGCATCTCAAGTGGCCGTCTGAGTTACAGACACTTGAAGTGCTACTAGGAAGCAATGTAAACACTGCATTTCCTCTGAAAAGACAGCTTTTACATTGAAATGATTACAGGGACAGGATATAGACACCAGGAAATGATAAATGGAACTGCAAACACCAGAGAGTGTTTCTATTTTAATTATTTGGGCAATTTCCTTATCATTTCTCCACCATCTCAGTTTAGAAAATTACGATAAATACGTTGTGGAAAGTGCAATGGATTTGGAATTGGAAGTTCTAGATTTAGAAGAAGGGAATCTGCTTTGTTTAACTTTATTGTTCCATGTGCAGATTAAGGCAAATTAAAGGGACTCTCCAGTGCCAGGAAAACAATCTGTTTTCCCTCTCCCCTCCCTCCCCCCCCGGTTGCTAAAGGGGTCAAAACCCCTTCAGTGACTTACTAGAGGCATCGACGATGTCCCTTGGTGATGCTTCTTGGTCCGCCCACGCTCCTCCCCGTCACCACGTCAGCCGGCCGGGGAGACTGATCACGCCCGCCGCCGGGTGAGACCTTATGAGCATGCGCGGCAATGCCGTGCATGCGCATTAGACCTCCCCATAGGAAAGCATTGAAAGTGTTTTCAATGCTTTCCTGTGGTGATTTTAGCATGAGGACGTCCAGCGACGCTATAGCACAGAAAATCTGTGCTATAAACCTGGAAGTGCCCTCTACTAGACAGCCACTAGAGGAGGACTTAACCCTGCAAGGTAATTATTGCAGTTTATAAAAACTGCAATAATTACAGTTGCAGGGTTAAGGGTAGTGGGAGTTGGCACCCAGACCACTCCAATGGGCAGAAGTGGTCTGGGTGCCTGGAGTGTCCCTTTAACCCCTTAAGGACACATGACATGTGTGACATGTCATGATTCCCTTTTATTCCAGAAGTTTGGTCCTTAAGGGGTTAAGGCAAATAGCAAGTGAGACTGTGGAATGGCTTTGTCTTTTGAGATATGATTATTAAGGGCATTTACTGAGATTCTTTTCAACTTTAAACATTTATGTGTGTGGCACCATCCTCACATAAGTACCCAGCATTCAAAGTCTGATTTATGTTTTCTCCTAAATAAAAATATACAAATGGCAGATGTATTACATTACCTCTCCCTGCATTCTCATGGACTTGCGGCCTTAGTCTCAGGACGAACTGGCAATGTCTCTCCCTGGGAAGCTGCTCTACGATAACAGTCTCAGAGCCTTGATCTAAGAAGAGGTTGTTGTTGCTCCCCTTTGGCATCTCATGGGATTCCCGAAAACAATGCAAGGCAATGCTGAAAGGGTGCTCGTGGCCTGACAAAAGAGAAGTACAATAAAAGACAGTGTTTCATTAAAATTATTTACACACTGATGACAGTCATGTAATGTGGGAATAGATTGGTAAACATAATAAAACACAACTAAAACAACTGCATTTTCAATATAATTTTGCTTTTTTCCTAAAAAAGTCAGACTTTTTACTCCGTCTGTATTCTTAGGGTAATATTGTAGGGTAATACTAAGGCATAAGATTATTATTTGACTTTTTCTAGCATCACAGGTCATAGCTATTATAGTAAAGGGACACCAAAAGAACCATGACCACTTTATCACAACAAAGTGGTCTGTTTTCAGTGCCCCTGGCGATTTTTCCTGAAATCTAAAACATTGCCTTTTAGTAGATATGGCAATGGTATGATTGTAGAGCAAAACATACCCCTAGTGCCTGTCTTCCTGACAGGCAATAGAGCCTCTGCTGTGTCCATAACTGAGTTTGACTTGGTTATGTGACATTCAACATCCTCACAGAATATCGTCATATATCACATTGCATTTCATTCCCAATGCTTCTCTGTGAGAAGAATTGGATTGGACAAGAACCCAGGAAGCAACACTTGTAGGTTTAGGTCACGGGAGGAAGAACAGGCGACATCAAGTGAGTCTCTGGGCTGGAAATAAAGGTAAGTAAAACCTTTTTTAAATTTAATTTGTATTCTATTTTTTTGCAGTGTAGCGCTTAATAGCATATATCCTCCAAGCTACATTACATCCTGCATAGTACAACACAAAACACATCATAGCTGTCCAATTGCTGGAGCCATTTAGCAAGCGCTAGACCTTCATTGCACAGAGCACAGATTTAGATAATTCTGTTTTAGATCATCTCTCACCATACAATGGATAAGAGGGTTCATCCTTTCCAGATATCACCCACAAATGGTAGTCACCTGGCTTGCCCTAGGGACAGAAAAACATAAATCATGCAATTATGGCATTATGTATAAACTAGTGCCGTTTTTGGCCATTTGTAATCACACTAAAGCAGGGTTTTATTTCTATAACGAACCAATCATCTTGCTTCCTCTTCATTGTCTACAAATTCATTTAGGATACTTTACATCGTGTGATTAGATCTAACTAGTCAATAAAGGTTTTTTTTGTTCCTGGAAAATTCCTAAGAAATATCACTTACTATATTATATAATAGTGAAGAGAACGTTAATGTAAAAAAAAACATTACTTCTAGTGCTCTCTTCCCAGCTGATTCCATCACCCTTTAAGGGAACGGGTTGTCTATTTTGCAAGGGACATTTCTCTTCTACCAGTATGAGATATAGGGGGAATCCTCAGAGGACCTTAAGTTCCCGGGTAGGTAATAGCAGTGCTACAGATATCAAGATGTTTCGGTTTTAGTTATTCTTGATCATTCTGATATGTGTAACCTACATAACCATACATCATTAAAACTGAATTACGTAGAAAAAGCAAAGTAACCAATGTGTACTTACTGGAATTCCGAGTTGCTCAGAAGCCATTCTAATTACTTTGTCTGCATCGTCCATATTGGTTACATTTATGGTGGCGCTCTGGAAAGAGGGAGTGAGTTATGAAAATTCTCTACAATTTAGAAATATTCTAGCACAGAGATATTTTAATATGCTTTACATAACTGAAGCTAGAATTAAAAATATTTACAGATGCCTAACCCCAAATGTGTGTGTTTAGAGATGCATTATAAATGAAGACTCAGCATCTCTTACTTCCCATGCCAGATGTGAGCTGATGTAACCGTATTAGGGAAGTGATCACACTGATCTTGTTTACTTTGTACTCAGCAAGATTAGCAGGACATAGTTTTTGTATATTCATTAAAGATGTGGTCCCCAGGGCTTACAGCAGGAACAAACCCTGCCTGTGTTATCTATTGTTTTGCAAAATTCCAAAGTTCTGCTTACTTCCCACCACTCTTAGTTTATTTGATTGCATCCCACCTACATTTGTAACAGTTAACCTTTGGTATGGCAGCTGTAACGGATTACATTTATCACAATACTCGGGCAGCTCAATGGCTAATTAATGAGACAAATAGAATCCATAATGGATAGTATATAAAGATAATTCATCACTTCTCTACATATCTACAAGGAAATCTGCAAAATAAAGTCCAAACTACTGAACTGGAAAAATTCTCCAATTCCCCTGTACTTCAAATGTGGGTTGTCAATTCACCATAATTTGCAGTTTAGTGAAAAAGGCTCCTCGGGGATCCTAATGAGCTATACACATCATTAAATTAGAAGCTTGCAGTTTTGCACTCCTAAACAAAATATTCTGAGAACTTTACTTAATATTCATCAGAATCCTTGAACATAATGTTTTAAATCTAAATCTGATCTTGGACACATGTTTTAGAGAAAGATGATGATATTTCAAAGTTCACTGCCTACATTTCTATTACATACCCAAAAATAGAGATGGTCCATAAATCACATAGGTCACAAGGGCCTCGTCTGGCAGTAATTCTACATAGATTTTTATTGGGAATCTCATCGTTCCCAAGATATTGAAAGAAGGTTGAAAGTTTTTTTTTTTTTCATCCAAGTGGCAAAGCAAAACACAGAGTGATTTTAAGTTAAAGGGAAACTGTCACTTCTGATAATTTTTAACATTATGATTATTTATATTTATACTTAACAAATATGTATTTGTGCAGCATGAAAAATAAAATTAAATGTATAAATCTACACGTCTTTGTCCAGTAACTGGGCACCTCAATCTGAGCTCCCTGTCAATCATTGTTATAATCACTGTCATTTACACCTGGCAGTCAGCTTAAAGAAAGCATTCAGAAAAGAGGAGAGATTAAATATTATTTCTATTTTATCATTTTCATTTGCAATGTTTGCCTTGTCTTAACTTGATTACGTTGTCATTAGCTAAATCTTTAACATAAATTTGAAATAAAACAGAGCATCTCATGGTTAACACAAGTTGTATTTGATTTTCAATGTTTTATAAAATTATGTAAATTCCAGAAAAAAAGGACAATTTCAATAAAAACAATGACAAATCTATAGTAGCTCAGGTTGACTCTACTTACAGAAGTTAGTTCCTCTGCATCCAGGTATAATACGCTAATGGGGAGTTCTTTAGGATACTCATTCTTCTTTATCTCATTTATATGCCTGTGTATTAAAGACGAAAATAGAATAAAAGTAATTTAAAGAAAGAATGAAATAAAAAATGCATTTTTAGAATACTTAAATGAACTCTATAGGCACCCAGGCCACTTCATCTCAATTAAGTGGATTGGGTGCCATGTCACTCTAGTTCAGGAACAGCAATGTTTTTATTGAAGTTTAAATGCCTCTAGTCTAGCGGCTGTTGGCTAATAGAGTTCACTCTATTGGGTATTACATTGAGATCATTGATCTTGGTTGATTGGTTGAGATAATTGATCTTGAGGCTTCTCACATGGCATGGGGCATTAGTAGAGTAAATTACAAACTATAGTGTGCATAGGAATATATGTTTGTACTCTTAACTCTACAGTGTTCCTTTAAGAATAATCTTAATAAAATCAGGCATTATCAGGTATTTGCCAGTTAATAGTAAATAAGCCAAAAGAATCAGACTGGAAAATTATCCAACTGTCCAAGATTTTTTAAACAGGCTATTTGGCTAAAAAATAAAAAGTGCTTTTCCTTGGACGATTCCCCACAATTCCCAGATTGCAGAATAATCCTGTAGCGATTTTCTAAGTAAAACATTGAAATGTTTCCTTTTTCTTTTCTAACAAATCAACCAATAACTTTCTTTCAATTTTAAAATTTCCCAAAATTAAAATAAATCTGACAAATTGTACGGCGGGCACAAAGGTTGAGCTGAACGCTGAACATATCTTATGCCGGCAATGTCTTTTAGATTTGCCCCTATATATATATATATATATGTTGTTTTTCAGAACAAAGGGTTAACAAAGAGTTTATTAAAGGATAACTCACCAGCATAAAGTTGAGAGCCACTTCTCCTTTGTGTCAGAGGAACTATAACAGAATAACAATACAAAGAGAAGTAACAACATCTTCTTCTAGAGGGCAATTTTAGACAAATATAACGGTTCCTTCCTGTGTCCCACAAGCAAACAGACCTTCCTGCTTCTATTTTAACATGACTCGTGTACAGCCTTTATTTCCTTTTTTCTAGTTTCAAGGTTTTCCTATATTTTTTCTTTTAGTTTTATCACCACCAAAATGAACATTGTGTTTCCATTCATTTATAACTACAGTACAGATATAGAATCACGGTATAAAGTCCGTTAACATGACAATCCAGAAATCTGTGCATGTGAAGGAAACACAATTTAGCAACACAAAGCGGAGTGTGGATGTTATGTTAATAAAGGTGATAACTACAGGAATGTGTATAAATACCATTTTAAAAAAATATATTTTTAGAAAATAAATTCTCTCTGTGCACAAATCTAAAAACTACTCATAGATTGTGCTTTTGGAATTGTCAATGGCTTTACTATCAAATAAGTAGTTACAACATTTGGATTTTGGCAGACATTAAAGGAACACTATAGTCCCCTAAATTACTTTAGCTAAATAAAGCAGTTTTAGTGTATAGATCATTCCCCTGCAATTTCACTGCTCAATTCACTGTCATTTAGGAGTTCAATCACTTTGTTTCTGTTTATGCAGCCCTAGCCACACCTCCCCTGGCTATGATTGACAGAGCCTGCATGAAAAAAAACTGGTTTCACTTTCAAACAGATGTAATTTACCATAAATAATTGTATCTCAATCTCTAAATTGAACTTTTATCACATACAGGAGGCTCTTGCAGGGTCTAGCAAGCTATTAACATAGCAGGGGATAAGAAAATCTTAATTAAACAGAACTTGCAATAAAGAAAGCCTAAATAGGGCTCTTTTTACAGGAAGTGTTTATGGAAGGCTGTGCAAGTCACATGCAGGGAGGTGTGACTAGGGTTTATAAACAAAGGGATTTAACTCCTAAATGGCAGAGGATTGAGCAGTGAGGCTGCAGGGGCATGTTCTATACAGCACAACTGCTTCATTAAGCCAAAGTTGTTCAGGTGACTATAGTGTCCCTTTAACATTTTAAAATTCTAATAGTACAGTGGACAGTTGTTCAGTGGTATGGTGGATTTCTAGGTAGAGGCTTGGTAGAGTGTCCGTAATAGGCAGTAAATGTAATTTAAATCTAGGCACTATTATCTGGTGTACTGCCTCAAAAGCTATATTTTCTCCTATTAACATCTGTTGACCAATATAATGCCTGCGCACCGAGTTTCATAAAACATTGCAATTGCAATATTCAGGTATCCAGGAAAAGTAGGTAATATTGGCTGTGAGTGAATTGTTTTTTATATATGTATGTGTGTGTGTGTGTATAAATATGACTGTATGTATTGCTTATATACACACATATATAAGCAATACATTGGGCATAAAGTGTTAGAGATCCCCATGCTTAAAGAGATACTCTAAGCACCAACACAACTTGGGTTTAACAAAGTAGTTTTGGTGCACTTGCATCGCTCAATTCTCTTTTGTTTCAGTTTATGCAGCTGTAGCTCCCCTGTCTGTGACTGACACAGCCTCTACCGAAAAAGGGTTTTATTTTTGGTTATATCTTACAGCACAGTGTGTTTATTTGAGAGAATTAAGCAGAGAGAATGCAGAGGCATGATCTATACACTCAAACTGCTTTATTAAGCTAACATTATTTTGATGCCTGTAGTGTGCCTTTAAATGATTATCTTCTGTATACACGCAGTTTCTGTTTACTAAGTTGTAATATATTTTTCTTGGCACTCTGCACGCTATGGCCTTATTTAGCTATTAGATTACTATATGGGGATGAAACAGTTTTCTCAAATTATTTATGGTGGTCTTTCGACACTGAAATGTCTTTCTATAGACAAATAAAAAATACCACAATGACCATATAGTTCAAATGAGGATCTCAATAGAAAGTATACCAATAGAATATATTTTCAGGACAAACTGTTTTTTTTTATTTTACTTATTAAGAGCAAATATATGTTTGATTATTTTATATTTTAAACTTTTGATACTACAATGTGCTCACCAATTTTATTTATATTTATTTAAACCTTTTGTATGAGCCTTAAAGGGGAACTGTCACTTATCTGGAATGTACACCATTGAATAAAAAAATTTAATAAACAAATTAAAAACCTCTATAACTTGAGTTTACCTTTATCTACGAGTTACTATGTTTTCTTTTAATTAAAGGGACATTATAATCACCAAAACAACTTTAGCTTAATGAAACAGTTTTGGTGTATAGCTCATGCCCCTGCAGTCTTAGTGTTCAATTCTCTGCCATTTAGGAGTTAAATCACTTTGTTTATGAACCCTAGTCACACCTCCCTGCACGTGACTTGCACAGCCTTCCATAAACACTTCCTGTAAAGAGTCGTCTAATGTTTATCCTTCCTTTATTGAAAGTTCTGTTTAATTGAAATTTTCTTATCCCCTGCTATGTTAATAGCTTGCTATACCCTGCAAGTGCCTCCTGTATGTGATTAAACTTCAATTTACAGAGCAAGAGATAACATTGTTTAAGGTAAATTACATCTGATTGAAAGTGAAACCAGTTTTTTTTCTCATGCAGGCTGTGTCAATCAGAGCCAGGGGAGGTGTGGCAAGGGCTGCATAAACCGAAACAAAGTGATTTAACTCCTAAATGGTAGTGGATTGAGCAGTGAAACCTGAGAGGCATGACCTACACACCAAAACTGCTTCATTAAGCTAAAGTTGTTTAGGTGACTATAGTGTTCCTTTAAATATTTAGCAAATTACATCATAAACCATTTAAGAAAAGGCAAAGCCAGGACAAACATTACAAATGAAGAAGAGCAATAAAAACATTGTTTTATTTCTGCTCCTCTTTGTATGTTTTCTGTGCTGATTGTCAGGTGCAAAGAACAATGTTTATAACAATGATTGAAAGGGGGCTAAGTTGGAGGCATCCAGTTGCAGGATAAAAGGGATGTGGATTTTTATATTTAATTTTAGATTTCACACCGCACAAATATATATTTAGTAAATATTATGGAAAAAAATTCTGAAAAATTACAGTTCCCCTAAAAAAAATAAAAAATATTTTAGAACAAAAAAATTCCCCAAATGAATGTGTTTCTTTTGAAAAAAAAAAACCCCACATAATTACCTGAAAGTTACAATGTAATTTGTTGTAGGCCAACCAAGAACAAACGAATTATCAGAGCTCAATTTCTTTTCTGAGATTTCACTGAGGCAGGAGGTTATCCACAATTCATTTAAATGCACCTGTTTCTTAAGCTTTAGGCTGGAAGAAGATCTATAATAGGTAAATATAATATTGGCATAGTTATATATCATATTATATAAATATAATATTCAGTAGATTTTGTCAATGTAAAAAATGAATAATCCAGAGACAAATTAGGTTATTTACTAAAGTGAGAATTTTAAAGTTTATTTTGCATTTGAGGACAAAGTAGCTGAATTGAAAGCATAGCTAACTTCAAAACTTTTTCCAGTTTGTCTATTTTGACCTCAAATTTGAAATTCACTTTGATATTTACTTTGAATTCTAACTTTAGTGAATAATCCTGAAAAGATATGAAATGGAGGCTGAAGGCTCAGGATAACCGATGAATTATTAGTTTACAAAACAAACAAATAAAATCCAGACAAACACGAGAAAATGTAACAAAAATTATCACAGTTTTTTTTTTATATGTTAATTTATGACTTTGTTTTGTGATATTTTAAAAACGAGCTAGATGTGGCTAGACAGCCCTCACAAATGCCATATAAGATGAGGAATTAAAATAGTTTTAGAAATAGTTAAAAGAGTTGGCAGACGTCCGTCCAGAAAATGAATTCCAAAACCAAAATGTCTGTGATTTGTCGTGAGCGAAACCACAGCTTCCCAAGACTTTATACACAGAGTTATTTGGTGCTTCATCATTCTCAAAATAACATGATTTAAAATTACTGTAAATGGCTCATATTTATTAAAACAGCATCTGCATGCCCTAGCTTTGTGTCATACTAGATCTATTCTTATGGTAATAGATCCAGCTGATAAGTAGGTAGATGCATTCATTGTGTCTGCTTATATTGACAAATAGAATAATGCTATCATTAATTGAATGTTTTTACATCCACAAACAGTACAGGACAAGCCATTTTTTTAGTTAAAATTCTTGCATTCTATACATTCTATTTATTTTTCAATATACTCTGTTTTATGCCATTGTAGTGTAAATTAAAAGATTAATGTTTTCTATTGTTGTGTAAATGTTGGAACAATTTTTCCTTATTTCCAACTCTTCCTGTAATTAGGATGTCTGTGATTTCCTAGTCCTATATCCAAAAGCTAACTACATGCAACATGAGATTGCCTAACCTCAGATCGAGCAATAAATAATATATCACTAATCAAATCAAAATTGACATTCTACTATTATGACCAAGAAGCAAATCCCATAAGGTAAAATATGCAGTACAATATTTACAAAAAATGCAAATTTAAAAAAAAAATGTGGCAGAGGAAGAAAAAAATATATTAAATATATATAAATATATATTAAAAAAAATTGGTATAATATTGTTTAATGGATATAAAGACAGATCTACATAATAAACCTTAAAGGACCACTATAGTGCCAGGAAAACATACTCGTTTTCATGGCTCTATAGGGTCCTTGGGTCCTCCTCACCCTCAGGGCCCCCCTCCCGCCGGGCTCTAGGGTGAGGAAGGGGTTAATCCCTTACCTTTTTTCGAGCCCCGGGCTCCCTCGGTGCTGGGGACTCTCCTCCTTTCCCGTCATCGACTGAATGAGCATGCGCGGCAACAGCCGCGCGCGCATTCAGCCTGTCTCATAGGAAAGCATTCTCAATGCTTTCCTATGGACGCTGGCGTCTTCTCACTGTGAAAATCACAGTGAGAAGCGCGGAAATGCCTCTAGTGGCTGTCAATGAGACAGCCACTAGAGGCTGGATTAACCCATATGTAAACATAGCAGTTTCTCTGAAAACTGCTATGTTTCTCTGAAACTGCTATGTTTACAGCAGGCAGGGTTAATCCTAGATGGACCTGGCACCCGCATCACTTCATTAAGCTGAGATTTTGAAGACTTTGCTCCACACACATAATGTATACTCTTAATGCAGCCACTAATGGTTAACATGTAACAGTCCTCATTATTTGCTGCTTCAGTACAATTAAGGACAAACTTTGTATTTATTTTTTGCCCAGCTTGAAAGATTTTGAGAAACATCAAACACATCCAACAGCGTTTATTTTGTTTTTGTTTGGAAAACTTAAATCCAAAAAAACAAAATCCTAAAAATGTAAGATGAAGCAAGTTACTTGTGTTGTTCTTACTTTGACTTTGCGATGACAAGACTGTCATTAAATAGAAACAGGTGTCTCTCTTGAGTCTGCCACCCATTTGTGAGCTGTACCCGCTCCTTCAATATGAGCATATTGCTAGGACTACAGAAAGCACCCAGGAGAAGTCCATTCCCTGAATTGGCAGGAAACAATGTGATCTCCCTAAGAAAATAAAACAAAAATCAACAAATGCACATAGTGACAGGGACATGCATTCATTTAAATAAACAGCTACATAGTTACATTGTAATAAAGGTAATAAAATGCATCACGTTCAACCATAAGTAAATCATAAAAAAATGCATGTAAAGTAAAAAAAAATAATAATATCACTATCTTTAATAATTGTAACTCACATGCTAATAAAATGATAGCAGATCCAGAATAAACCCAAAGTACATTGTAATACACATTCCAAAATGGTGATATTTATAATGGAAAAAAATGGTGTATACTGTCATGTTGAATAAAAATATTTATTCTTGAAATAAAAAGCGGGAATTGCACTTATTGGTTAAAATCACTATAAAATGTATTAAATATAGTATGACATTATGTATATTTTACTTTCTACAGTATCACACTGTATGTTCTTTAAATGGTGTAATATCCAACCTTAGACCTATGACCTTGAACTGGGCAATTGAACTTGATAGACTGGAGCCTTATTTCAACCTTGATTCCTATGTTACTGTGTGTTCTATATGTGGTCATTATGAGCAACACCAATCCACCATTAGGATTTTCTGTTGTCCCTGACGAACAAGTATACTTACATTTTCTCTTTTTACACATGTGGTTTAAAAGTGTATTTCAGTTTTTTTGCTGTATATGTAAATTTCCATAGAAATCTGTAGAAATCTGTAGCTAAGAATAGCAGTTCATATTGGATCTTTAACATGGGTCTCTTAATGGTGGGAAATAAATATCATGTTTCCTATATTGTGATAACACCTGCAGTCAATACTGGATGGTGATCATTGACTTAGTTTATACTTACTGTGTTTGTAAATGTTATGCTAAAAATGCATACATATGACTTTAGCTGGAACTACAGCAGCCAATCAGGAGCAACATTGGCATCTAGATTATAGGAACAGACCTCCATGTTATAGTTCTATACATTGCAAACCAAATAATAACTCCCTTGTATAGTGGATATGGTGCTAGAAGTGAGAATTTCCCTAGCACCATAAGAAAATAAGTAATTAAGCTGTTTTCAAATGATGTAACACGTACCTGGGTTCCCTAGTTGCCCCCAGTCCCTTTTTGCTGTAGAGTTATCAATTATGTTCCTGTTTGGTTGGAATTCACTGGTTGAGAGTGTCAGCTAGTGCTTTTAGTAAATGAATTACTTACAAACACAGTTATAATTAACATCAGTTAAGCATAAGTATTTACCTATGTGTTAGATAGTAATCTCATAAGAGGAGGTCGGACCAGAGGCATCTGTGGGATCTTTGAAAATGGTATGACTAGTAGGGTACTGTAGGGTGGCACCAGGGCACTCTTGGCATCATAACCACTACTGCATGCTGTAGTGGTTATGGCACTTGGACTATCCCTTGAAATGGGGAAACATGGGTTCTTAAAACTGAGAATCAATAAGTGTCTTTGTCTGGTCTGCCCTACCCCAATTACAAATGTCACACATTGTACTTATGATTTTGTTTTCTGCTCAAATAACCTTTCCATGCCAAGCGAACACATTTAGGACTGCTCCTACAAACAGCACTTTGTAGATTCATTTGTTCACAAAACATCACAAATGATTGTAAACTTCAGTTAATATATATTACATCCAACAGTTTCAAAATCGATATTACTTTGATTTGATATTGATTTTCATCCATTCGCCGACTTAAAATTTCTACAGAATTATATCTCATTCTTTGGGAAATTTTAGGATACATTTCTTAAGAACAAGTATCCCAAAACAACATTTATTTAGAAAACCGGATAAATTAGGTGTTATGAATTCTCTTGAGAATATTCTGGCTTAACCTAGTGATATTTCCTTTTCCATTGCAGAAATAAACATCTCTAAAAATGAACAGTCCAAAATTTGGAAAACTTGTATGCAAAACCATAACAAAAGGTTATACATCTCTGACTCAAAAAAATTATTTGTAGATACCAAGAAGGTACAAGACAAAAACAACAATAAGTGGCACCTCCTTGAAACTCTGACCAAGTACAGTCCTGGTAGGGGCTCAGGCCCATTTAAATTGTGGTGGTGTCGGTTCTAAAATTAGTGTTGCATAAAAAATATTATTATGAAGAATTCTTCTAGAACAGAGAAATTGTACAGGAAACACAACAGGAAGCCTGGTCATCTCTATCCAAAAATTGCAATTTCAAGCAACAGGAAAACAAATATCTCCTTATCAAGTATATAATTTTAACCTCTATTATTCACCCTCTGAACATTGCTATCAATAACAGAACAATGTTCTAGATAGCTGAGCCTTATAGCAAAGAAAATCCAGACAAAACCTTATTTTAAGCCTTTACATTACAACTACTCTGATAAAGTATACAGATTGTTTTGATAATACAGGACAAATGATGATTATGTATACCAGTATTTGAGCCAATCGATAGTGCTGAGTCAATCACAGCATATAAAATCCAGACATGATTGTGTAGACTAAAAGTAATTCTTGGTGTTGGATCAGGACACCACATGACTGGCGGCATGTAAGGGTAAGTGTAGACACCCTTACAACCTCTAAATGCAAGAACTTATCTTCCACCACCTAACAACATGAGCACTAACTTGTGTTGGATGGATCCATGTTATTTGGAAGGTAGAGAGTTTTTTACCATAGAGTTAGGATCTTATATGCTGATTACTGAAACCTACTGGTGGTGACACAGGGTGGGTCCGATTGCAGATTTTTTGTTATTGTCTAGGGGTAAGAGTCATTCCCAAGGTCTCTTCCCATCTACCAAATATTTAGGGCTAGGGGTTCTCAAATGTTCTTGGAGAATTGCATACAAGGGTCTTAATGCCATACTCCATTGGATCTGGGTCAATTAGCAATTCAAAGTGGGTAGGTTCTTGGAGAATGTTGTCCACAAAAGCAACCAGTTGCCTACACATGAGCTGCTTCATGAATGTTGGTTGGTGGGGCCCCATTAGAGCAGAGAGACTTAAGGACATCACCATTAAAGAGATGGTGGACGTGACCAGTTGTATTATCCAGGAGTCTCTTAAAGGCAGGCACGGAGGCCTTCAAGAAGGGGGATGCCACACATGGAGCACTAAATTGCCTAAGGGAACTGATTTTGAACTCCTAGTGAGCATCATAAAAGATTCGTCTTGACCCTTCAGACCACGACCAGCCAGGAGAGGTGCGGCACTGCACTGTGCCACAAATTTGTGTTGGGCCACTAGAAAGTGAACCTCAGATGGATGGGCTCGGCCCTGCTGTTCTGGGATAGACACATTCAGAATAGCAGACTTTGACTAGTTTATACGTAGGTTTACGAGAGAGCCATAGGTCTCAAAATCCTGCAAATTGGTAACATCAAATAACAAGTTGTCTGGGTATGCTGCTACTTTGTGTCCAGTCTTGCCAAAAGTCTCATTATATCAATGATTGTGCCATGCGGTCCATGATTGTGTTTAAGAGCATTTAGAAAGTGCTCAAGGGTAAGGATTCCTATTGAGTGCCATTTTGATTTTGAAACGGTTCCATGAAAGTCACATTAATGCATTCTCTAGCAGAGGGCGATGTGTAGCATTTGCACAATTTTTATTTATGATTAGTGGGCATGTATAATGTAAGAGTGGCTTATTTAACATATGCATTGTGACGGTAGTCACCATCACCAAGAACTTAAGATGGACAATTAAATTAGGTATCTGAATGATTCCTATGTTTAAGTCACCCTGTGTCCATTGTGCGTGCAGGGTGTGTGTGTAATGTGGTTGTTTGGGGTTAAATGTTAGTGTGCTCTCTAGTCTTGCTAATGTTTGCAATCAACTAGGTGGATTTGGCTGTGGAGTCTGTACAGAGCCACCTGTTGGTTGCAAGGATCTAGTAACAGTGATATACACTACCTGAATAGCAAGGATTGCTAATTTGCATATTCATGTAGATTTGCATAATGCTAATTCTGCAAGCAGGAGAGATATTTTCTGTAAATTATTGTTTTCCCCACCCCTTTATAAATATGGCAGTGTGTTATAATACGTTGCTCTATGTTGTCTGCTATGATTTGATTGTTTGTATTTTTATTGAGTTGTCATATTAATCTAAATGTTATGAGCATTTGTGCTAGTCCTGACTAAAAAATAAAAAAATGGCATGTTAGTTCCACTTGGAACTGGGTGTCCTGTGTAGATTTGTATGGATCCCAGTGACAGTCTTCAGACCTGTTTGCAGAATCCCTCTTACCCTGGGATAAAGCAAGAGGCTTGGCCTGAGTGTCATGAGTGTCTTTACAAAGATAGGAGCTATAACATTACAGGCGGATGTGTATACCTCCCTGGAAGCAGGGCTGCAGCGGAATTTGGCAGAGGATAAAACCTGCCTGGAAGAAGAGATGCAGCTTGGTTGGTTGGAAGAGCTCCTGAGAGACCCCAGTCAAGCTTCAGTGACTGAGGTAGAAGTGTTCCAGATTCCTGGCAAACGGCTAGGAAGCGGATTGGATGGAGGTACTCGGTCGGAGTACAGGAGCTCCGTCACATGTACGCAGTGCCCGGCGTACCCTTGAAAGGAAATCAAACCGGTTGACATAGCACCTAGACCAGATCTGAGTGCCTTTTTCATATTTTCTCAGAGGTAGCAGATGAAATAAAATATCTTTATCTGAAATATCTGAAGCTCAAATACAACAAAATTCTAATATGAGTAATTAGCTCAGTTTAGTCATGCCAGATTTGCCATGAGAATTCTTTCATATCTCAGCACTGGAACGCAACATCAAAATTAATTTCTAAGCTAAGAAACTCTTAAGCAGAGATAAACACCCAGAGCAATTATTTATAAGAGAGCAGGCAGATAAACAGAACTGAAAATCTTTTGGCTGCTGTTGTCTCTTCTATGTTGTTATGTAGGATGAGAAATTAGTTTTTGGTGTTGGATTAAGATAATGTGATTTTCCTTTTATTCATCTGTGATGTTTAAAAAACAAAAACACTAAAAACACAGTACAATGAGAAAATTGTTCCATCTAGTGATATTAATACACATTTCTTAACAAAAAATAACTTCCGTATTAATTTGGTAAAACCTCCTGTATGTCCCTATGGAGGCTACTGACAGCTTATTCATTCAACCAAATAGCAGATACATTTACAAAACTGTTGTTTATTGAAAATGGTGCAAAGTTTTAAAGTAGAGCAATCACCATGTAAACTAATGGATTCAAATGGAACATTACGTTAGTTTCCATGGTGATTTATCTACTGTTTTTTATTTTTTTATTTAAGTACTAGAGTTACTTAAGTACTTCAGCTCCGATTGTTTGCAGTAGATCAACATACTGGCAGGTAGTTTTTCTACATTTCACATATCCACAGGTGTTCCTCCTTATTTCCACTGTGATCATTTTTGAGAGTCATATGTTTACACCTCTATTAAAATTTCGTACCTGGAGTTTGATTTACTTTTGCTCAGGGCCCTGGTAATTGCAGACGAGGAGCGTCTTCGTTGGACTGAAGCCCTCATCTTCTACAAGAGAAAGAATAGCAGAAGTATTGTTAATACATGTTCCAGGCCAATGGTAATACACAATAACATACAATACACAGCGTGAGTGTCAATACATTTTGTCAGTGCCATTATTTATTTCCCGTATTCTCCCAACCCGCCAGTAAAGAGTATAAAACACATACAGGGTTATTTACTTAAGTGAGAATTCCAAGTGAATTCAAACTGTATTTCAGAATTCATTTCAAAGTATCCCTAATGGAACACTTCTCTAAGTCAGCCTTGCTTCTAGTTCAGCTACTCTGGACTCATTTTTGAAATTCACGAACAACACAACATGGATGAAAATGTACAAATGTAGGGAGCAGTAAAAACCTCCAGTATAAAAAAAAAAAAAGTAATGCCAAATAAAAAAGAATAAGCCAGCAAACTTAGAAAAACATGAAAACGGCTCCTGTGTAAGCAAAACAACGCTTTGTGGGTGCTCTCTGCTGTGCACTAAATAAAAGGACACTACACTACTTTTAGAGAGCGCTGGACCATTATTTTCTAAATTTGAAAGTCACTTTGAATTACCTCTTCAGTAAATAACCCTGATAGAGCTGTTCCAGCTCGACTATTTTGGGCTATTTCTCAATCCTTGACTAAAGCTCCACAAGAGGTCAAAATGTTCTTGGGTCACTTTTATGGTGGTTGAATAAATGAAGCTAATATGTAACTTTGAGTGGTGAAGTGACTATAGAGTGGTGAAGTGACACATCTGGCTAGTGAACTGCAAGTCAACTAAGTATACATTCACCATAAATACTATACAGTTTACTAGCCAGATGTATCACAGCAAGTGTGCTCTATAGCCATGCATGCACAGTGTCGTGTGTACATATAAAGTACAGTATTAACGGGTAAAACAACAAAGACGTTGTTTTTTTTGACAGAGTTTTTCCATGAGTCTTACATTTGGAGTCTTATGCTTCTTGATAATATTGATAGCCGAAATTAACTACACAAAAAGTATTATTTAAGAAACTAAATTAAAAAAAGATGTCAAAGGCATTGTAAAAATAACCCCTGTAAATTCTTTCACATGCACAGTGTTTACAACACTCCAAATATGTTTTATTATTTAAATAGGTCTGAAACATGGTATGATTGTACTTGTAGCAGTGTTAAATTCAGATTTTGTGATAAATTTCCTCTAAATTACATCAGCATTTTATCAAAGATAATTTGCCAGGATTATCATGACGTAAAGTCACAAAGGGGTTAAGCAAATAAATCTAAATGTACAATACGTGTGGTCACCAACATGTGAAATATTAGCTTGTAGTTTAGTACTGGACATTAGTTATGAGTGTCTGCATTTGATTAGTTGCGCATATTGGCCTTTTCATAACCCAAAAGCATGTTAAACAAAACATGATGTCACAAGAATTCTGTATATGCTTGGCTCATGAGTTTATATTTATCATTTCCCTGAAATAGGTATAACTTTTCTAGTAAATGTCACCATTCCCCATATGCTACAAAGCTTTATGAATCATGAAAATATAACATGTAAAGTTAGATTGTGAATTAGAATGAAACATTTAAAAATGTAAAATTTCTTGATTAGATAAAAATATTCTGCTTATGGGCAGATATTTTAATAAAAATTCAGCACGAGGACACAGTGTCAGATCTTACAAGATATTTTATTAGTTTGCTTGTTCTATGCTGTATGAAAACAACATACCTACCCTTTAACATACCCAATAAAAAAACACCTTTCATCTTTAAAGTACCCATCTCTATTGCTCTCTAAAATATTGCTATAAGTTCTTTTAAGTTCTCTAAGTGTTAAAAAGAGTTCACGCAAAAAAGCAAGCAATATAGTTTATTTATTGCAAAAAACATAAATATTTGCAATAAATCGTGATTTTTTTTTTGTATGTTATCTAATATCTTTTCAGAGACAAAGAACGGAAGGTATGCATGTATTTTTTTGTTGTTGTTTGTTTGCTCTGGTCAGACATGTCCCAAAAATGATACCAGTAGAAATAACAATTATCAACAAATTGGGGAACTAAAAGGATTGGAGAATAACAGGTAGGTTTAAGGGAGAGAAAAGAAGATTGGGCTGGGGAGGAAGTATTATGAAAATAGATAAGGTGAGAGGGATGGACTCAAAGTAACCCAGGAGTCCTATATCTTCTGAAAGAAAATTTAAGTTAAAATATATATTTTTTGATGAAATCATAATATAATGCAATAAAACACAGCCAAAAACTTGCCGTACCACAGATAGAGAGACTGTAGTGCAGGGTAACAAGCACCATGCTTTTCGTAGATGTCTACCATGAAACATGAGGTTACTAGTGAATACTATCTGTACTAGTGAATAGGTTTCACCAAAAATGAAAGAGATTTGTAACACTGGACACGGTCCTCTTGCACCCCTGCTAGATGCCAGGGACAGCAACCCGTATCTTATTCTGCCAATAAAAGTAAACAAACAAAAATGCTGACCAAGCTAACCAATACATGTATAAAAAATATATACATTATGCACACAAAACGTGGCAGTGTGTGTTGTCTTTTTCTTCATATTGATGGCCAATCAAATTTGGGGAAGGAAAAAAAACACAGTAAATTTAATACTTGGGAAATTACTGCACGTTATTACATTACACTTCCACAGAACTTCACAATACACAGAAAGTATGTTTCTGTAAAGAAGTCATGAAATTAGAAACCAAACTTTTTCAGAACATCATTATCTAAAAAGCGTTTTTGGTTGGTCATCACTAAAGGTCCTATCTCCAAGAACCTTTTTCCTCAAGGAACACTACAAACAGTAAATAAATACAGCCAGCTGTAGAGGTTATGATGCTAGTAGTGTCCAGGTGTCATCTCACAGTTAGTAGTCAAATTATTTTAGCATGGTTTGCCAACTTACCTGGGTCCCTCTGGGTGCCCATGCTGCATCTGATCTTCTCCTGTAGGAGAATTCAGGTGCCTTTCTTGTCCAGCTGATACAGGACCTGATTGGCCTGCCTTAGCTCTCTAGAGATAAACAAGTTATTCTGCAGCGTAAGAATAGAAGCTTGAGTTGCTGTGAGGGTCAAGCTGTATTAAAGCCATAATAAAATGGCTTAACTATTTACTGTGGGACAGCAGCATGGCACTCATGGAACTATAACACCTTCAGGAATCTTTTAGTGTTCCTCTAAATTAGACCATTCAATGTGATGCATTAACATGACCGTATGGTCTTAAACATACATTCTGTGCACCGTAGGTGCACATCTACTAAGCCATCTATAGATGTATCTAAAATGTTTATTGATTTAATGATTTGATGTTGATATAATTTTTAGCACTATTATAAGATGCACCCAGTAAAATGCATACATGCACAATATGTTCCATTACTCTTTTGCCCATGTTTACATCATTCTATCCATCAGAACTCAGGCACTAGAAAAATAATCTGGTGAAATTGAACGTTGTTCCCACACTGGGAATGTCTCGCTGGATACAGAATACTTGGCAGGTATGGTAAGAGGAGATGTGTACATGCACACATTTATGTCTGCTTACATTGAAAACTGAAGTTGAAATATGTCAGATTGTAATCAAGCCAACTGGATATCAGCACTCGTGTATGACATCATTAAAAACGCTAATCTCATGTTTTATAGAAAATTGTGTTTATTATTGTTTAGTTGACCCTATTCAGTTACGGGGTGATTTAAAACACCTGGGTATGGGTATGAGGATTTTCTTAGGTAATGACCTATTATTTTAGCACAAATCAGAGTTCTCTGGTGAACATAATGTAATTGTTTTGCTTAGTGAATCATGTTAACATTCCAAGGTTATTATTGCATTTCGTTGTGTTTTATTCACTAAACAGGGACTTAGGCTGAATTAAAAGCAGATTTTAAATGTAAATAGTCAAGTATGAAAAAAAGTATCATATTTAAGTCTATTTCCAACCTATTATTGTCTAAATTTTGAAATCCACATTTTTAGTTCACAAACCCTGTTGTCACCCAAAAAGCTACAACAAAGCTTCTCAGTTCATCAGCTATGTCACTTCTAAGTGAGAAAGGAAAATACATTTGTCTTTGTTAAACAATGGTATTAGATGTAAGAATGTTCTGAAAATAACCGTACTGGGTATCGACTGAATATCCAACACACTGCTTTAAAAAGAACAGCATTATAGATTGATTAATATTTCGATTAATTTGCTAATTTGCTATTTGTTAATTAATAACAGGAAATAGATAAAAATAATTTTCTTTCTATGCATTTATGAAAAACATACAAACATCCACACATCCTCCTGGCATAGATGCAAGGTTGACACAGTGACTGGCATGGCAGACAATAAAGACAAGAATTCCTTCTGTCCGGCTAGAAGATGCTTATTTTGTAATGCACCCACAGTGCACATTGTGGTGATCTTTCTCTGGGGTTCTTAGAAATGAAACACGAAAGAAAGAAACTAGAAAAACAAAACAAGTTTCCAAAATGAAGACTGATTCACTAGCTTAAGAACACGCTGCATGCCATAGTGTTATTATTTATGCTAGTGCTCATTGATGAACATCGAAGTCTTGGGACCTACTTTGATGATGCATAAAATTGTATGTGGTCAGTAACATTACTGTGACCATCATTGACCAACAAATGGGCACTAGAGACAATGACCATTAAATATGTCAAGACATGATTTATTTTTTAAATTAAATGTCCTACAAATTTAGTTGTAATGACGGCAGTGTGCTTGTAACCATCATTTTAGCTAATTCTGTAAAAATGTTGTCCCATGGACTGAGTCTAACAAATCCACTATCTGCTAAAGGGGGGTGGGTCACAAAAAACAGAAACACACCAGGTCAAATAGTAATTTCTGTTGTTTTTTAATCTCAGTTATTTCAGCCTGAACTTTGTCATTAATTTGTTAGTTCTTGTTAGTAATCCTGCTATTTGTATGTTGTTTTTAATTAGCATAGGAGTCAAAATGCTTCTTTGCTAAATTAATCATGAAGGTGGTATATACATTTGTGTATCTGAATAACTCGTATTCATATAATGTACATCATCTATCAGTGACCAACATGCTGACATTATGTCACATCTACTGAAACACAAAATCAGACTTCATTCTACAGTACATATTTATAGGTAGTGTGACACAAGTGTGCAGCAAAAAAACAAGTGACATTTTTTTTAATGCCCCAATATCAAGGTGTATATAAAGATGGTTATGGTTTTTGTATATTTAAAAACAGAGCAAGCTAACTCAAACTCACTCATAAATGCCTATGGACACCTAATAGGGGAAAGGTAGGACAATTTGGCCCTGCATAGGGTGTACCCGGATGCACCTGACATACCTCTTGCACATGTCCATGCTTATTGTTCCTTTATATATTTCACATAAACCGACAAAACCGTAACAACTGCTTCAGCAATGGCTTCCGAGGCACCAGTCGCCCATCACATCATAAGCTTTTCTCACTCCATACTAAGGAATCCCAGGGCTGGGAGCAGCTCTCTCCAATGAGGCCATATTGGGTAACACATGCTTTCGTCTTGGGCTTTGGTTTTAAAACTGTCAACCGGACAGCTTCATCAACAATTCCCTTACTGTGTTATGTTTCCAAGGTAACATTTTGGAGTTTACCCGCTCACGTTGATTTGGGCTCTGTGTTGTAACTGTGCATTATCCGTCAGCAAAACTGCCAGCTCCAGATCTGTGTTTCTTGGCATGCAAACCTCAAAAACTGTTCAATTTAAACCCATTTATGGCTTAAAGCAACATGATGTTTTCTTGTTTTCAAAGAAGCTGAAAGAGTTCTATTAAAGAAATATAGTTCCATACTTCACAGGAACTGAGAGATATCATTTTATAGACCACTAGAACATGGCTTTGTTTTTTGTGTTGTACTTAATGTAAAATAACCAGTTTTTAGACCCTGTGTTTTATAAATCGATAGTATAATATAGCATGGCCACAATTATAATCATCTATGAAGATTTAAGCTTATAACTCTAAATCGTTATCACAGATTGATCAATTACAGTTATGCCAGCCAATGAGATGTGTTTGCCATGATCCAGAATGCTGTGAGCAAGTGCAAGGTTTCAATAATAATCTTCTGGGTCTAAGCCACATGCACCTTAGTATACGTGTTAGACTAGGTAACAAAATGAAATGGGGTACTGTAAACTCCATAACCACTACAGAATACTCTATGTTACACTTTTTTAAATAGTTTGATATTTACATGGGTCCCATTGGGGCCAACTAATATCACTACCAGTTGGCCAAACTGGTAGTGATAAAGTATAAGAGGAACTCCTGTTTCATGATATCAGTGATGAATGGCTCTAGATTACAGTGAAACTGCTTGAAGATGCTTGACACCATAACCACCACAACAAACTGTAGTGGGTCATGGTGTTTAAAGTGCCTCTTTAAGGAATGAATGGCGGGTTTTTTTTCTAATTCTTGAAGGACTTCACATCTATCTATCTATCTATCTGTCTGTGTCTATCTATCTATCTATCTATCTGTCTGTCTGTCTATCTACATCTATGTCTTTCTCATTCAGTTAACTTGTATTTTTTTCTTAGATTCAGTATATTTTTCCGAAGCATTCTTTCTCCCTACTGCTGAGAGAGAAATCGTTTTCTGCAATTTATTAGCAATAATGTAAATATTTATAAAACTCATAAATCCAAGGTCTGTTATCTTAATTATCTGGAATTTTAATGTGGGTACTTTGTGTTTATTAGCTTGATGTCTATATTATCTTGATACTCTTGATAGCTCCATTATAGTTGAATAGTGGAGACAGTTAATATTAATATAATATATATATATATATATATATATATATATATATATATATATAGCACTAGTTTATTTCACAAAGCTGAGCCATAGCTAACTAATACACAGAATTACTAGTAGCAAAACAAAAAGTGATGATACTCGAATAAGTTTATAGTCTAAGACCGTAACACCGCAATGTAAGATAGATTTAAGGGATCTAACAGAAAATAGTCTTTATGTTAATAAATGTCAATTGAAATTGTTTGAAAATAGAAAGTAGGAGACACAGATGATTGAGCTCACAGGTTACACACTATGTAAGTGCTATCTGTGATGGAAAAAAATAAATACTAAAAATTAATGATGTTGGAATAAAAAGGCTATATTTAACATGACGTCTAGTTTTCCTCATCTGTCCCTTAACTCTCAAAAAACAAGCGCACTACTTTGATATATACTGTAGTGACTAACATTTGCACAGTAAATTACACAAAACAGTGTTAAAGACCACATTCACATAAATTCTTTAGCAACAATCCAGCCAGCTAGCTAAAATAGTTTTAACTTGTGAATAAATTTGTGTAGTTATGAAATTTACTAAAAACTCTGTAATTCATTAGTAAATTACTACAAATGCTCGATGGAAAAAAAATTAGTAATTATTTCTTAATGCTAAGGTTTTTGGAGTTTTTTTGCACGTTATTTACATATGTTTCTCTATTTGTCATAATCTCCCTTTATTCCATTGAATTAACTGTCTATCCACTATTAATAATAACAAGATAAGGTTTCAGTTGAGCGTTTCTTCACCTGCTACATGAAAATATTGTTCCTAGCTGAACATAATTTTATAAAAATATTTTTTTTTGCTTTTTTTGTAGAATGTTATTATAAATATTATCTCGGACAAAGTTTGTAATTGACCTTTCTATCATTCCAGACAAAATATTCACAAAGTAACAGAAAAAGCAGAAAGATGTTATTGTTCACCATCTTGCTATAATGGCAACATTTCATTCATTAACGATTTTACGGACTAAAGAGGTCAGAGTTCATAGATGTAAACACTCCTCTCCAACCGTTTTCAAATATTATTCCATAAACCCTCAATGTTTTGCATTCACTATTTTTCAAGAATTAAGTATTGTTACATGAAAGGGTAACTCCAAACCCCATGACCATTTCTGCTTTCAGAAGTAGTCATGGTGGTAGGTGTTTAAGCAAGGTTTCTGCACATACAGCGCAATCTGTAGTTTTGTGCTTGGGACTAGTTGCAACGTCGGCACATGTAACTAAGGCAGCCCGGAACTCGTTTGCACGCTACCTAATGTGAGTTCTGTGCAAAAAGGACATCTGAGGTAAGTGCTGGCGTCAGGTGTAGTTTGCTTCTAGGCCCGCATGGGGAAGCTTCAAAGTCTACTCCTGGGTTGTGGAAATGACCAAGGAGGACCTTGCCATGCACTGGTTTTGAGGTAAGAAAAAAAGTTATTTAATCTTTATTCAAATTTAAGGTGGAGACCTGGTTAATAGTGCCCAATATAAAATAATTATAATACGAAAACATAATCAAGCTAAAAACACATTATGGAAAAAAGGGTTAATTAGGGGTAGGGCTAAGGTTAGAGCCATGGTCAGAATTTCACCTTAATCTTAGGACATCACAGGGACAAACATTTGTGTAGGTGTGTGTGTGTGTTGATACACACATGAACACGTACAAACACAAATTCACTACAAAGGTAAAGCATGCATGGATGTTAATGGAAATCATACTTAAGGAGAAATTGCAATCCTGTATCTATAAATATAGAGCGTAAAAAAAATAAGAGAAAAATAGATAGTGTAATACATATATACATATATATGATTACAATACAAAAAATGACAGTTTTTAACTAGTTTTACAAAACACAAGCATTACACGTCTTTACTGAATATATTGGGTTAATTAAAAATGGGCAAATTGAATCATCTGACTCACTGTAATTTTCAAAGAAAACCGACATGAACACTGCGCACACAAGGATATAAGACACGCCAAAAATATTCAGCTATTAAGCTCAACGTTACAAGATGAATGAGGAAATCATGGTTTAGACTCAGTTTAAGATGATTGCATGGTCTGACGTCTGCAGCATTACCATCACAAAAATGTATGTGAACTTTGGATTGTGATTACTTTGATAACTGTTGTGCAATACTCATGAAATGTAAAACAACTTTACCGTTTGGTTACCGACACCAGATTGTGATATAGATCACAGTGTCTTCCCACTTCCTTTTGGAATTAGGAGACAAGAGAACTAAATCTACAGTGCAGAGGGTTTTCAATTTTTTTGCAAGCACAATGGATTTGACATCATGTAAAAGCATAGATGATGGTGTATAAGATAAAATCTAAATGTCAAGTGTCCCTTTAAGTTAATGTTCTATGCACTGTTACCAGTGTTCCATTGGTCCTGGAAGAATGACTTACCTTTACTGGATGGTGATCTTGGTGCATGTTTTTTTTTATAAACCTTTTTTTTTTACTTTTGCACATGGATTAGAAAAAAATCTGGGATTTTTTTCACACCATCACATCACCTTCAGGGAAAGGGGAAGGCAGTTCTTGCCAAAGAATGTTAAGACCCTTAAATAATAATGTTTCTTTAAATCAGGGGTGCTGAAAAGGTAGATCCCCAGATGTTTTAAACCTACAGCTCCATGATGCTTTGCCATTCTAAAGCATCCTAAAAACATGCAAAGCATCATGGGAATTGTATTTTCACAACATCTGGGGATCTACCATTTCGGCGACCCTTCCTTAAATTTACTTGTTAGTCAACATAAAACCACCCATTCCTTGATCTCTTGAAAGAAGTTTTTTTTTTTTTTTTCACATGCCTAATAACAGGATTATTAAGCATTTACTTAAATGGATAATATATCTCACACATCACTATAAATGTATTGCTTTAACGGACAAAGTGGCAGTGGCAATATATTGCGCCTTTATAAACAGTTACACAAGCCAGTTTTTGCAATATTGTTTCCACCACAGAAAATAATTACCCACTCGCTACTTAGCAAGAGCCTTTTTATTTGTCAGTCCTGTTTGGATATGTTTGCCAATTCGTTTTGTTGAGTAAAATGTAGCCAAAAGTTTTCTAGTCAAAGTAAACAGTTTTTAAAGAGAGAAATTGAGCTATTTAAACGTACACTAACAGTGGAAAAATCTATGAAGTGTTTCCTTAGGCGCGGAATCTGTTCCGATTCCATTCTTCCAGTAAATAAAATGCTCTGTTTAGTGTAAATCCAACAATGGAGACTGTCCTGTGATCTTTGGCATGTTGAAGTAAACTATACATGGCTTTTATCCTTTTGTTGAAGAAATCCAGAGTTCTCTAGAGGGTTTAGTTGTTTGCAAGGGTACAACCATGTGGCAGCATTCAGGAGATGTAATGGAACTTACAACGCTTAATTATTATGACCCATTTGAAAGAAAACATCGAGCCTCCCTTTTCATCGGGACATACCTCAATTTATAATCTCTGTTCGTTTATACAATAACCTCCTAACCATTACAGATGGCAAAATCCCTCTTACCTGTGTATTGATTTATAAACACCTGAACTAATCAATTATTATTTTTTTGTCTTAAATGGCAGATCTATCCCAAGCTTTTATAGGACCCAGGTCAAGAATCGCCTACCTTCTTTCTACATCAGAGAGCAATTATTTATTTATCTTAATCTTTGATGAAAAATCATCCGTGCTGATCCTTTTCTGATTGCCTGTCTATCACCAGGAGGAGTTCATGATTCCTGAACAAGCTGGAGAGGTGCATACTTATAGAGTCCTATCATAAACATTTCTTTACATCTTACTTCTGGGTTCTCATACCATAACATACTGTGATGTCATGCACACATGCACAGTGCCGTCACACTGTGTAAGACTAGAGAATCATTAAATACAATGATTTCCTATGAAGGAATCGTAGGCGCATCACCGCAATCTCTGTGCATTTGCCTACGTTCCCTAATGCTCCTTTATGAGGCGCATTAGACTGGCCCATCGTTCTATAGGCAGGCCTTTTGGATTCTGCAACCTGAGGAGGAAGTCACGTCAACACCAAGGGAGACTCAGCACTGGATAAAAGGTAAGTTACACTAATTAATATTTTTTACATTTTTATTAGTTTGCACATGGGGGGCTGGCATGACAAGGGGCAAAAGAACCATAGCCTTTGAAATACAAATATGTATTCTAATGCTACATTGTTCCTTTAGAATACAATCATGCAGTTGATTTTGTTTGTGAAAAAAGAAAGAATGTAAGAGATCTAATGTTTGATGATGATGATGATTTTGATGATACATCAACTTTGTTTGGTCCTAGATAACATAGAGGAGCAGAAGCAATTATAAGATATTTCAGTCTAATCAAATAAATTGCTATGATAGCATTTCATATTATAAAGTGTTTTGCTCTTAAAGCCAAGACAATATCATAGAAAATGGGGGTTAGACTTTATTGCTTTTTTATTACTGGGACACTCTTTGATGCAATCTTACCTATCAAGCATTTTGAGATTCACAATGGATGTACAAAAAAAGGATTTTTAAAGAGAAGCTTTCCCTCGTAAAGTGAGGAAGCATACCCACTCTTGTTCTGATTTCAATAACACTACATGCCAAAACTATTTCACGCAGCCCTTCACCTACAACCATAATCCAATGTCAGCCTCTGTTAGACCAATACAAATGGATGGTGCATTATTATTATATAAACTAGCCAGCCACAACATTAAAATCATTACAATGGCATTTATCAAGGGGTGGGATAAATGAGGCAGCAAGTAAACAGTCAGTTTTTTTAATTTAAAGTGTTGGAAGCAGGAAAAATAGGCAAGCAAAAAGATCTGAGAGACTTTGATCTGGTGCAAGAAAGGTCAACCAGTGAACCAACATTAGTATCATGGGCACCCAAGGCTCACAGACACCCGCAGGCAGCTAAGGCCCAATCTCACAGAAGAAATTGCTGAACAACTTAATGCTGGTCATGATAGAAAGGCTTCAGAACACAGAGTGTATCACGGTTTGCTGCGTATGGGACTGCGTAACCTCAGATTGGTCAGAGTGCCCATGATTACCTCTGTCCACTGTCCAAAGCACCTTCAATGGGGACGTGAACCTCAGAACTGGACCATAGAACAATGGAATAAAGTTGCCTGTTCTGATGAATCACGTTTTCTTTTAGGTCAGGTGGATGGCCGGGTGCATGTGCATTGTTTACAAAGGGAAAAGATGGCATCAGGATAAACTATGGGAAGAAGGCAGACCGGCAGAGGCAATGTTCTGCTCTGGTCAACGTTCTGCTGTTAAGCCTTGGGTCCTGGCATACATGTGGATGTTACTTTGACACATACCACCTACCTAGAGATTGTTGCACACCATGTACACCCCTTCATGGCAATGGTGCTCCCTAATAGTCCTCTGCCACACTGCAAAAATTGTTTAGGAATGGTTTGAGGAACATGACAAAGAGTTCCAGGTGTTGCCTTGGCCTCCAAAGTCCCAACATCTCAATCCAAATGAGTGTCTGTGAACTACAAATCTGATCCATGGAGGCTCTACCTCGCAACTTGTAGGACTTAAAAGATCTTATGCTAATGTTTTGGTGCCAGATACCACAGGACATGTTCAGAGTTCTCCTGGAGTCCCTGCCTTAATGCATCAGAGCTGTTTTACCAGCATATTAGGCAGGTGGTTTTAATGTTGTGACTGATAGTGTGTATATCACATCTTCGTGTTGTCCTTCATTATTCATCTCACACATCCCTGCTCAGTGCCTCTTACAAAAATGAGGTTTAGATTATAAATCCTCTCTCACTTATGTCATGCACATTTCTACTTCAGTATACTGCACTTCACTTGTATTTCACTGATTTTATCTATGCTTTTCCCACACTGTCGCTTTCAATCGATGTTATATTCTGAGTAGGGCAATAATAATTATTCTCTGTGAGGTGATGAGGAATAAACATTGACCTCAGCCACATGGAGAAGGGGAACCAACATGCTTTATGGTTGGCAGCAACATGTTGAATACGATCATACTGTACTTGGAAATATGACAAAAAGTATATTGTACGTTGTTTTAAAAAAACATTTGAGAACAATTTCCCTGAAAACACCAAGTATCCCTGAGCAAAACAAATTAGATACTTTCGTAGAAATGATACTGTTGGGAAATGTGTTAGAAAATGTTGTGGTGTCAGTCCATCATGCAAAAGTTAGTTAATTTTGCCACAGATAAGAGATGGTTCACTTTGTTGCACATCTGTCAGACTTTTAGGTTCCTTGATCAGCAATTTCCTGTTATGGATATAAGCTTCCTGAGTCTGCGGGGCTTGAATACTGATTATAATCCCTCAAACCACTTCTCCCTTTGGGTATCTCGCATGTCATTAGCAAACCACACTTTATTCTGCAATAAAGAATATCCAGTACATAGGATTAGGCAATATAGCATCTGGTGGATACATATATTAAACACCATCAATATTGCTATGACTGAACAAAATATATATTGTAATACTGGGGTTTTTTTTTCAAATACTTGAAGAAAAAAATTTGAATTCACCTACGAAACATGTTTCATTCCCTTTGAAGCTAATATCCTTCTACGTCAAGCAGAAATCTTCTTGCTGGATACATGCACAGCCAACTATTTACAGTGTGAGAATATGTCTATCGATTAACTGTAAGATATAATTTTTACCCCCAGATTGGAACTCTGCAGGGGGCAACATTTGTGAGAAAATAGAAATTCTAGTCCGGGATAGAGACTCTTTTCCTCATGTAATTGTAGTATTGTGGCAGTAGTCAGAGAGTCAAATAGTGTTGTGTCTCTCAACACTGGCAATTTAAGATCTTAATGAGCAAAGACATAAAAGCAACTGGTTATATACGGATTTTGCATGTTCAGACAGAGATACTCTCGCTAAACTACAACCTGTGTTCTGAGCCTGGTTGTGCCGCCATTTAATCAGATTTTCTCACACAGCCTTTCCTTAACATCCCATTATTAATATTATGGTAAGACACTATTTACATATAAACAGAATGTGTCTGTTTTATATTATTATTGGAGTCTTCTGGAGAATGGGTAGAGGGATGTATGTGTCTCTGATGGCAGAAAGCTGTCTAATCCAAATATAGTGTATTTAAAGATTGACAGAGAAAATGGACACCTTCATAAGATATCACATGGACACCTTGATAAGACAAGGAGATATTGCCACCCTAATGGCTGGAAATAACTGTTAAAACTGTATAATAGAGATACATGCTATTGCAATGAGGCCTTAGATCCTATTTGGGAAGGTGAACATTGGCTGCAACCCCTTTCTTTGGTAGTCTAATCTATGACAGTAAAGAGGCCTGCAACCTCAGGTTTAGCGTTGCATAATAAACTCACATGTTAGATACTAATAAATATCCTGCACTTTCTATTACTCTCAAGGAGATGGGGAGAAAACTAAATTTGTACACTTACTGTGAACAAGAGGCAGACAGCAGAACTACCCCATTTTCACAGGTATAGGAGCTAAGAAGATACAGGAGCCAAAAGGGTTGCAACCAGTGTCGCTGCACACAGCTCCACACCATTTTACTATATGAGCACAGGGGTAGCTCTTCAGTTATTCCCAATGACTTGCAAAATGTCCATACACGTTCACTGTGTGATATCAGAAGAACTGTCCCTTCTATAAGCTACCACTGAAAAAAATAGTTTCAAGTGTATTTCTGTATCCGAAAAAATGGTTAATCCCTAGGTCAGGGAGTTAAAGGAAAACTCTAATCACCGTAACATACTGTTTATCATAGCAGCTTTGTTGCTGTCCCCCAGTTGTCCAACAACTAATTTTGGGTGATTTGATTCCAGCACTCAAGCGCTATCACTTTTGTCAAAAGTTGAACGCATTCACACAGATAATGTTACACAATAATTTCCAAGCCAGCAATAAATAAATAAATGCAGGGGACAGATTTTTGTTGAACCATTCCAAAATAGAATGACAGAAAACCAGGGCAGGGCACCTTCTGACTCATAGCACCATAACTACTGCAATAAGCTGTAATAATTCTGTTGCTTAGGATGTTATTTTTATGGGGTAAAAAAACCACTTGCAGAAAATAATTCCTCTAAATAAAATCTATGCCATTCATCTGTCTAATCCAATGGGATAGACTTCAACTGTCCACCTGTTTTTGGACTGCAGTTTCCATAATTATCAGCAAGTTTTAGTCTTAAATAGAATTTTGAGAAATGTAATTAAATAGTTGGAAACGCAAACATGGCTACGCCTAGCGTAATCTGAATATTTTAAACAAAGTCTGCAAAAATAGTTTTACCTTTTAGATTTTTCCCTGGCCATAACTCTTTTTACCCTTCAATAATACTAAGTTATTCCATGAGTGTTATGTCATTGACTTTTAACCCCTGCACTACTGAGCATTTTTTGTTCGAAAACAGATTAGCATAACATTTACATGAAACAGGATAGGCATATAGTAGAGTTGCAATCTGTGTATAGATTACTCTTTAAACGTAAAAATGAAAATTTGCTGAACACAAATATGAGTGTTTTAAAAAGTAAAACTTATCATGACGATGATATCACCAGTAAAAGTGCAGTTTTTGTTTAAAAAATGCAAAAAACAAATAAAAACGCTAACTTTGGTCAACGTTTGTAACTAAGTGGCTACTACAAAAGACTGGAAATACCCCATTTTTAATACCCTGAGTTGCCTACATTTGAAAATGGTATGCCATGATTTGGTTAATTACCATTCCTGGGCTACCATATGGTCTCAAAATGCAACATTGACCCAGCAAACCAACCTGGCAAACTGATTTGGGCAAACCCTATTGACCCTGTAACTTCCCAAAACATCATAATACCTGTACATGGGGGGTATTGTTATACTCGGGAGACTTTGCTGAACACAAATATGTATGTTTAAAACAGTAAAACCTATCATGATGATGAAATCAACAGTAAAAGTGCAGTTTTTGTGTAAAAAAATGCAAAAAACAGTATGAATGCTTACATTGGCCAGCGTTTGTGGCTAAGTGGCTACTCCAAAAAAGACTGGACATACCCCATTTTGAATACCCTGGGTTGTCTACATTTGAAATTTATATGCCATGATGGGGTTAATTCACATTCTTTGGCTATCTTATGGTCTCAAATGGCAACATAGACCTAGCAAACCAATCTGGCAAACTGAATTGGGCAAGCCCTACTGACCCTGTAACCTTCCAAAACATCATAAAACCTATACATGGGGTGTATTGTTATACTCAAGAGACTTTGCTGAATACAAATATGAGTGTTTAAAACAGTAATGATGAAATAACCAGTAACAGTGCAGTTGCTGTGTAAAATAATGCAAACAACAAATATGAACGCTAACTTTGGCAAGCGTGTGTGGCTAAGTGACTACTACAAAAGACAGGACATACCCCATTTTGAATACCCTGGGTCGTCTACCTTTACAAATGGTATGTCATGGTCGGGTTAATTTTCATTTCTGGGCTGCCATAATGTCTCAAAGGCAACATAGACAATCTGGCAAATAGCAATTTAGAAAAGCAGAAATTGGCAAATCTTATGTTTGACCCTGTAATTTTCCAAATCACCATAAAACCTGTACTTGAGGGTACTGTTGTACTCGTGAGACATTACTCTACACAAATATGAGAGTGGTAGAGCAGTAAAATGTATTGTTCTGATAATATCATCTGTGAAAGGGCGGTTTATGTGTGAAAAATGCAAAAACTTATCTAAATGCAAATTTTCGCCAGGGTTTGTAACTAAGTGGCTACTAAAAAAAGACTGGACATACCCCATTTTAAATACTGTGGCGTGTCTACTTTTACAAATGGTATGCCATGATGAGGTTAATTTTCATTCCTGGGCTGCCATACGGTCTCAAAGGCAACATAGGCCCAGCAAACCAATCTGGCAAATTTCAATGTGCAAACATGGAAAAGGGGAAAGCCCTACATTTGACCCCTGTAAGTTTGCAAAAAAACATAAAACCTGTACATTGGGGGAATTGTTGTACTTAGGAGATGTTGCTAAACACATATTGGGTTGTTCTTTGTCGGTAACAAATAACAGGAACTGAGAATCCATGCCTAAAGTACAATGTGAGAGAAAAATAACACAAAAAAATGACTACCCAAATGTTTGACAAAGACTGATGGTAGAATTATTGCATGGAAAGTGTTAAAATACCACCTTTTGAAATACCCTGGGATGTCTGTTTTTCAAAAATATGTGGTTTGATGGGGGTAAATTACATTGGCCGGCTTCAAAAATGTCCCAAATTGGACATGGGTACATAATGACCAGCTGTGAAAATTCCAAGTTGGAAAACTGGAATGCACACCCTCCAAATAAGGTATTTTAGCCCCCAGAGAACCTGACACACCTATACATGGGTGGTATCACCGTACTCATAAGATGGTGATGAACACATATTGGGGTGTTCTTTGTCAGTAACACATAACAGGAACTGAGAATCCATGGCTAAAGTACAATATGAAAAATAACAACAACAAAAAAAAATACTACCCAAATGTTTGACAAAGACTGGTGGTAGAATTAGTGCATGGAAACACATATCGGGGTGTTCTTTGGCAGTAACCGTTAAAGTTATCAGTACATGTATTCTTAAATTGCTATGTGTGTCAAAAAAAATCACCAATCATTTTTTTTTTAATTTGACATAGATTGGTGGTAAAATGATGGCATGAAAAGAGTCAAAATACCCCATGTTTAATACCTTAGGTTGTCTTCTTTTAAAATATATATACATGTGAAGGGTTATTCAGGGATTCCTGACAGATCAGTGTTACAATGTAACTTTAGTTAATTTTGAGAAAAATAAATGGTTTGGAAATAGCAAAGTGCTACTTGTACTTATTGCCCTATAACTTTCCAAAAAAAGCTAAGAACACGTTAACATTTGGGTATTTCTAACCTCAGGACAAAATTTAGACACTATTTAGCATGGGTGTTTTTTGGCGGTTGTAGATGCGTAACAGATTTTGGGGGTCTAAGTTTGAAAAAGTGTATTTGTGGAAAAAGTTTCAGCATATTTTATAATTTTTTTATAGTAAATTATATGATGAAAATAATGTTATCTTTAGAAAGAACATTTAATGGCGAGAAAACAGTATATAATATGTGTGGGTACAGTAAATAAGTAAGCGGCAAATTACAACTAAACACAAACACTGCAGAAATGTAAAAACAGCCCTGGTCCTCTACAAACTGGTAATCATTCCTAGAGTATAAATGAGCATAAGTGAGGCTTTATGAACTAAATTTTATTCTGAAAATAAAAATATTTACACTTGATTCTTGAAGTGAAGGGGTGAACGTGTTAATACCCAATATAATTTACTTTGCCAAGGGTCATATAAAATGTAACTGTGTATTCACTCTGTCTGATACAGGCACCAGCTGTGAAACATTGTGCATCATGGGTATCTTAATTCTGTGCATAGTAGTCTGTTTAATCTCTTTCTTCAACACTTTTTAGCCAAATAAAATACTCCAAAAAAATAAAAATAAAGATATCCCTATTATTTGTTAGCAGATTGCAACACGTGGAGAAATAACATTATAACAGCTGGAAACTATCTCAGAATACTGGAACTTCAAATATGTCAGATTGGACACTATAAAAAAGGAAATGAGATGATAAAGGTAAACACAAAAGCATTGTTCTAGAATCTAGATAATATCCGTGTTCCACTCTGCTCATGCATTACAACACAATCAATCACCTATATATTCTAATGTATTTGCCCCTCATGTCGTGCAGCAGCTCAAAATTAATTAATTGATTGAAACGATCGCCTAACATTTTTAGTTATTCTCATTTCTGCTTTTGTTTCGCATTTTTTATTATTACATTAAACCTAGAAATAATTCTTAACCATGATATTGTGGATGGAAAAAGAGCTGTGATATTTAATCATGAGATTATTGGAAATAATGTGGGTAATATTTACAGTTTATTTACAGTTTACACTAAATTTACAAATTATTAAATTACTATGCCTCGTAGCTTTAGAGGAATATTCTAGATTATCCAAAAACGTGAGTCCCAGCTCCTTGCTGAATGCACACACAATAAATCCTTCATTTATTATATTCATAAACTAAGGTTACCCTAGAAAAAAAGACATACTGAGGATCTATTTATAGAAAAAATAATATACTGGTTTATTCATTATAATGTGAATTGTTGGAAATTCAAATTGAATTTAAAGTGAATTTCAACCTTTTAGGCCCAAAATAACCAAATATTAAAAGTCGGATATTTTGACCCAATGTTTAAAATTAATTTTTAAATAAGTCTAAATTTCCAACAATTCACACTTTATGCAATGACCCCATATAATCTTTGCTATATGTCCGGATGGATTTCAAGGTTTTTTCTGTCCGTGGATGTTTCATCATCATGGTTTTCGGTGCAACGTTTTTTTCTTGTTTTCTTTTTTTTTGTTTATTTCAGTTACCCATTTAAAGGCATCTTGGTAGTCCATTTTTTAAATCAAATTATAAATCTGGCCCAACTGGTGAGTTAGTTATGGTAATATCACTCTAGACCAGGCTGGAGGGCCGGAGTTTGGGGAAGCCTGCTCTAGGCTGTTACTACAGGGTGCAACGACCTAATGTGTATGGGACATTTAGCAGGTAGATATTTTAAGTTCTGCCCTCGCTGCTTTACACATTTTTTAACTGTCTTCCATTAAAGAGAAATGATAGATCACAGTCAGTTTGAATGATAAGCTATATTATCTAGCAATAAATACACAGGCTGCATGTTGTCTATTATCACATCTTCAAGATTATATAGTCTATATAATGTTTGAGGGGAAAAAAAAATAAGATATACTTTTATCATGTATTTTTAAGTTATGATTTATTTATACGTTAGTGGGGGAACTGGGGTTTCTCAGTTTTCAAGTGATGCTCCGTATAGAGCAGTGGTTCCCACACCAGTCCTAATGACCCATCAACAATCCAGGTATTGTCAGTATCTCCATTGGAATAAAACAGGGAAATACTTAAATCTGGATTGTTTGTGGGTTATGAGAACCACTGGTATAGAGGATAATATTTTATAAATGCCCTGGATCATTTGGGTTAATGCATATATATTTTTGTCTTTATAAATAATTTTTATTACATTTTTGAAATAACTAGTCATCAACGTGTGCATCACCTGGCAGATTCAGATAATGTCAAGCTTAATGACTGGCTTGAAGCCATGATACTTAGTACTGAGCCAATGCAACTGGTAATCAGCAGTATAACAGGCTGGGATTTCACTTAACAGTTTAGGTTGAGCTTGCTTATCACAGAGAATTATGTTTACCCTAATGTAGTACAATAGTTAGCAGTTGGCACTGCATGTGATCTGTTGAATAAATACAGCTCCCAGCATCTGGGTTTCATTAGAAGGAGCCATCTAAGTCACTCTACCTCTTATAAGCTTCACCTCATTTTTTTTTTTTTTTTTTTTACGTGCTCAGCTGCACGGAATTCCAGACAACGTTTGGAAACGAGAGACTGAAAACCTACGTAGGTTGGTGGCTTATGGAGTTAATCATCAAAAAACTAGATGGGAAATTGGGTCAGTAGAGCTTTGCAAGATTTACTGAAAACATAAATATAGATTTCAGACATTCTGTTCTTTAAATGTTGCAAACTAAAAATTAACATGGACATTGAAACTAACGCATTGTCAAGGGAGTTAACAAATTATAACTAGGAAATCAGAGGCAGTACTAGGTTATAACGTACTACAATATTAGTGCAATTTGTAGAATGTTAGCAACCTTTCGTAGAGGTTAACAATACCGTAACCAATCACTAATACTTAAAGCACTTTCACTGTCTGAGAACTTTGCAAAATTTGCAAAGACTCCCAACGGTGAGATCGCTGCAGGGGGCAGGGGGTCTATTGGCTGCGGGGGCAAGTAAAGGTGCAGAGGTGAGTTCTACAAACCTGAACTTTTCCCTCAGGGGTGAGGCCATCTTTCTCCAGAGGCTAATCTTCAGAAGTGCCAGGAGCCAACGGCTTGCATGAGCAAGAGTACATAATTGGGGTCTATGGAGGATCCCTCAAGATCTATGGATCTCGATAGACAGAGGCAATTCCTGGCAGCTGCCACTGATAATGGCTGGAGAATTGACACTTCCAGATGGCGGTAGTTCTGCCCAGTGTCTAGAAGTGTCTTACTTTGTCTTAGTATATCTCTTGACTGGTTTGGAATTTCAGTAAAATTCCAACACAGTCAAAGTAAAGTAAGTATTTCATAAAGTGGGGGTGGGGGTCAGTGCCTCTTTAAATCTAAGTTTGGTTAAGTTTGGTTTGTATGAAAAGGAATACTTGTAAATACACACTGTACGTGTAATTAAAAATGTTAGTGCTTTGCCTGCCCATCCTTTTATTGCATTATGGTTCCCTAAACATTTTGGAAGGCAGGAGTCACAAACACTATACAATTAAAAGAATTACAGAACTATTTTGTACAACTAAGATGTATTTTGATGAGTAGTTGGATAATAGTAATCAGACTATACACCTAAAACTGAAATGAAAGTCAGTAACCAGAAAATCTAGTTCATTTATGTATGTTTCTATATATGGTTCCATATTTGTAAAGTAGATTAATATAATTTCATTCCACCGTCACAACTGTCTTCTAAACAGGCACAATAAGAGCATTTTTAGCAAATCAGTTTACTTTTCTCATGATTCCTATTTAATCATTGGGAAGCTTCTCAAATACATTTTTGTGATGAGTCTATGTTGAAATCAGTGTGGACCTATCTCCTTCAGTTGGGAGAACTTTTAGGAAAAATAGATTCAAGTGAAGAAAATAACCAATGTGAAAATTGGTTATTAAAGTTGGTGACAACCATTACCTATTTTAGGCTTTGATCATAATTCTTTGCCTTTTGTTTTTTATTTGACAATGCTCTCTGAACTTTTGTTGGCATTGCATGTTTAAAATAAAATTACAATCAAAAACCTTTGTCTGACAGTAATGTTGCCAATGTTAGAACTCAATATTAATTTAAAGGAACACTATAGTCACCAGAACAACTACAGCTTAATGTAGTTGTTCTGGTGAGTATAGTCAGTCCCTGCAGCTTTTTTGCTGTAAACACTGTCTTTTCAGAGAAAAAGGCAGTGTTTACATTGCTCCATAGGGACACCACTAGTTGCAGTCACTCAGACAGCCCCTAGAGGTGTTCCTGGGGCAGTGCTGCATGGCACTGGACATAAGGTAAGTGTTTTCTTAACTTTTAAGTAGGCTTGGGGGGGGGGGCATGCCACCTAAATGGTGGTTTTAACAATAAAGGATCAGGAATAAACATTTGTATTCCTGACCCTAAAGTGTTCCTTTAAAACCAGGATTTCCTTTTTTTCATTAATCATATTACCTTGAGAGGAATATTCCAGGATTGCAAGTTTAAAATTAAACAAAATTGCAATATTTTGTAATTATATAATTATGAGTGACATATGTTACATTAGACGTGTTCCAAATGAAAATTGATATCCATATGCTCTTCTCTAAACAATTCCAAAGCAGGCATTTACCATACCATAACATACATGGGAATAGTGGGCATGCATATTTGTTTTGATTAATCTTTTTTCTTTTAAATAATCAAATAGGAAATATGTACATAAGTCTGATGATACTCCTTTCAAAAGTCTTTAAATAAGGAAGTGTATCTAACATATGTTTTGCTTATGTGCAATTCCGATATCCGGTATTTTTAGTCTCGGGTTAGTGTGCTAGCATTGAAGTTAGAGTTAGTTTTACGGCTAGGTTTAGAGTCAGTGTAGTGTAAGGCTTAGGGTAGTATATATTCTAAAACATTGTAGGTGTAAAAGCTCAGATTAAAGTACGTATTAGGGTAGTGTTGGAATTAAGGCATTGGTGTAGGAACCAAAGAAAATCTGGATGTATGTATAATACATACATGAAACCATGCATTTCATATATGATATATTATCACTAGGGAGATTACTAGTAGATTGGAATAACCAGTTCTCATTAACATGTTGTTTTCTTATCTTTCTTTAACAGTGAAATAAATGATCTTAAAAACTACCAGATTTTCTGGGGAGAGTTTGTCCTCCCCATCTCCCTTCCCTGTAGCCCATGGAGCAACGCAGTTAGAGGAATGGGCCTTGACAGGGCCAGAGAGTAGGCATGTAGTATTTTAATAATTGGGGGTAGGACTTTGTCATGTGGTAATGGGCGTGGGGACTAGAGGGTTAAAGCACGGCCATCTTAGAGAGTGGCCATTTTAATTTTCAACTTGCACTTACCTGTTACTTGTCCCTCCCAACCTCTCTGTGGTTAGTAGTGTTCCCCATTTGGTCACAGCGGCGGGGAAGGGCTAGGATAAATGGGAAGTAGGTGGAGTATATAGTGGTCATGGAAAAGGTCTAGGCTGGATTAGGCAGGAGTGGTTCGCTTGGTAGGTAGATTCGAGCTCATCGGTGGCTCCGAATCTGGGGGTGTAGGGATGTCTTGGTACACCCCTACAAGTTAAGCAGTTGGATATGGGCATCTTTGGTAGGCCGTGTTTGATGTTATATGTTATTTATACTGTTATACACTGTTATATGGTATGGGGTCATTGCCAGGGGTACGGAGGGAGATTGGTTTAAAATATCCTCATTGTTTTGGCAATGACCCTAAAATGTTGTATAAGTTATTGATGATAATATAATAAAGCTGTGGACTTTATATTCCCAACAGAAATTGGTGCCTGTATTTATTAAAGGTAATGGGGATGGCTTATGGCACATGCCGAATAACGACTGTGCACATGTCAAGTTCCTTCCCCCCTGGATTAAGGTTTAGTGTCACATGTCCCAGCACTGCTTGGGATTAGTGGGAGTTGTAATAGCAGACATTAGCCATTTTAGCTGCCACTATTGAGTTTGCTGGGGAACTAGTTGAATTTAAACCGCAACAGCTGCTACTCAAAAGTATTGCTCCCACTAGTCTCAGACAGACCCCTCAAACTAGATGGAGTCGATCGATGCCTTATCCCGTGGGAATAATTATACGTTGATGTCACCATCTGAGCCATGCTGAAGTACCGATCTGCCTGCTATATGTATAAAATTATTCATACTTATATACATATGTGGATAGCTAAAAATTTTCTTTGTCTGTATCTTGATAAGCAAGCAGTGATTTAGTTAAAATAGAAGCTACAGCTAATAGTCCCATACCAGCCTTTTAAAACAGTATAAATCTTTTCTATCCACGATGATTTTATAGTCCTGCTTATAAAAACAAAAAGTACAAACACAAGTATAAGATTGCCCAGTGAAACATGGAATTTGACAGGCGATAGAGACCAACTGCTCCATCTAGTCAGACTATTTGATTCATTAGCTTAAATAAAGTGCTACAGCAAATGTTAATTTACTGAATTAGCTGAAGTGATCATTTGGACTGTTTAATTTTCTGAAATTCACGGGTTGGTTAATTCACTAAACTGTGGACTGTAGTGAATGGCAGCTGCCAGATTTTGTCCCACAATTATCCTTACAAAACCCAAATTGAGGAATTTAGGTCATAGCTGATTTAGATTATGGTTATTCTAGCCTGAGTTCTGTAATTCTGGCTTTGGTTAACCACAATTCACTGTTTAGTGGATAAACCCTAGACATTAGTATCTTCACATTTGAAGAAACAAAAAACTGACTATTTACATACAATTTTGAGTGAACCCCAATGGATCGAACTGGAACTGAACAGCTAAGTAACGAGTAAACAGGCAGATAGATAGAATGATGGAGTGGCAGAAAAATAGATTAAAAGAGAAATTGATTTTTTTTATATTTTTTTTAAAGTGATAGATTAATACATTGATCCATAATAATTCCAAAACAGATTTACCAGAAGTTAATTTATACAATTTATAACCTCCCCCACCCCTATGGCCCCGAAAAACAAATAGTTAATTTATTGTGTAGTTTGTGTGATATAATTACTATCACTCACAATAATAAACCACTGAATATTTCCTTCGAGTCTGAAAAAGTTTTTGTTCTCACACAGGATATATCTATAACGTCAATCAAGCACTCCTTTGTAACGTACCAATCTATTTCAAGCAATGCACACAGATTACATAGGTTACTACGTCAGTCTTAAATAAGATCTCATGGAACTCTAAACATATAATAGCTACACTGAGTGAGTGCCATGTATTCGATGGATTCGTATATTCAGCTTCAGAAGAAAACATCACTTTATGATTTATCAGGATGAGCCTTGCAGAAATAAATATAATTTATGTACCGTTGAAAAACTAGACATTCCTGTTGAGAGTTTCAAACATCAGTTTAGAGATTGTTCGGGTACAGAAATATTTTTAACATTTTATTGTATGTGTTTTTAGCTCTATGTCTATTGGTGGTTATAATCTAGATTAATTGCAAGCTCCCTGCAAATAAACTTCACAAGATAACACAGTAATGACACTTTTTACGGTTACTCTGTTCTGTACTTTTTACCTATATTTGATGGGGTTAAATAGTTTAAAATCTCTCCTCCATGTGTATGCATTGCCAGGAGACATAGTATACAGAACTGCATTCATTCTGTGAATTCTAAGGATAAACGAAAGGTTATTTTTAGCCCTGAAATGGTCTGAGGGCAGAAACCAGATCATGTTAGGAATATTTGTACTTACATACAATATAGCCTGGTTGCTTCATCTAAGTGTTGCTTCTAAGTGTGTGGTTGGAGATATTCTGGAGATAAACTGGAGGTAATCTGAGGTATTCAGGAGGATAAATAAAAAGTTAAGATTTGTTTGATTTAATTTATTCACCTCATTGGAATGGCAGACTTAGTTCAGTGTAATAGTTGCTATCCATTTGTTTCACGTTCCACTTTTTGGAGGTTTGGTTGTTGTCTAATCTGTAGACAGTTTTCTATATTGCGGCAGGAGATTGTATTTTTGAAGTCTGAGATTTGTAAATTATCTGGTAAACAAACTCAGACTGGAACTGCTGCAAAGCCACTGCCGCAGAGACGTACTAGGAATGGCAGATGGATTACTGTAGGATCTGGTAGACTTAGAGTTGTGGATAAAAGGCATATTGCACAGTCTGTTGCTCTACACAATTCATTTTCTGCACTTTCAGAGTGTAATGGTGTTGTGGGGAGAGGCACTGAGGCTAGTGGTGTTGTGGAGAGAGGCACTGGGGATTCCATCATAAGAGGTGTGGAGATGGACAATGGTGGTCTTGTGAGGTGTCTTCCCGGAGCTACTGCTCACAGAGACAGGAGACGTATCTGTAATATTGTTAAGCAAGAAAAGCAGGAAGGGGAATTGGATGTACTTCTCCATCTAGGGACAAATGACTTGGCTTGCAATGAGGTTTCAGAGGTTAAGGAAGATTTTAGTGTTTTTTGCCAATGATATACGACAGGTTGCTTCCACACTGTCATTCTCTGAAGTTCTGCCTGTGCATAACACTCAGAACGACAGGCGGATGCATATTAGGGACTTTAACTTGTGGCTTGGTGAATGGTGTCTGGAGCTTTATTTCTCATGGTAGCTCTGTTTGGAATGGAAAAAAAACTGTACAAAAAAGATGGTTTGCATCTTTCTCAAAAGGGAACAAATGTTCTCAGTGAGCAGTTCAGAGGTTTTGCTAGGATGTATTTAAACTAGGAGGGGTGAGCAAAAGGGTGATAAAACATCAATCCAATTGTCTCCCAAAACAAGGACAGAAGGTGCCTGTAGCAAGTGTGTTAAAAAATGATAAGCTTAGAGTCATGTCTACAAATGCTAGCAGTTTAGGGAATAAGATTAATGAACTTGTGGCAATAATGGCAACTGATAGTGTAGATTTAGTCGCTGTTAATGAGACATGGTATAATGAGAAAAATGACTGGGACATAGCAATGCCAAGGTACTCTTTATATAGAAAAGACAGGGAAGGCAAGAAAGGAGGAGGGGTGTCCCTGTATGTGAAGGATAGCATAAAATCTAGCCTAATAAAAGTTAGTGAGGCGAACATAGAGTCTGTTTGGGTTACGTTAGAATTTCACACAGTAACTCGTGTAGGTGTGATTCATAGGCCCCCAGGACAAATTGAAGAGTTAGATAATCTACTAGTTGAGGAAATAGCTAAAATGACAATGAAGGGGGAAGTTATCATCATGGGTGACTTTAATCTTCCTGATGTAAATTGGAAAACAAAATTAGCTACTTGTGCCAGGAGCACACATATTCTAAACTCCCTACTGGGATTGTCTCTAAAACAAGTCATTGAGGAGCCAACTTGTAAAGAGGCCATACTAGATTTAGTGTTAACAAATGGAGATTTGGTATCAGATATTACTGTAGGTGAAAGTTTAGGATCCAGTGATCACCAGTCAGTGTGGTTTAATATAAGAACAGTGACTGAGTCACACCACACAAAAAACAAAAGTTTTAGACTTTAGAAAAACAAACTTTTCTAAAATTAGAATATGTGTAAAGGAGTCATTATCAGACTAGAGCAATTTAAATGGAGTCCAAGAGAAATTGGATTATTTAAAAGTTGCACTACTAAAGGCAACAGAAAATTGCATTAGGCTTGTCAGTAAAAGCAAAAAATTCAAGAAACCACTGTGGTACTCCGCAGATGTGGACAAAATAGTAAAAAACTAAAAGTTAGCATTTAGTAATTATAAAAAAAAACCCAGAGTGAGAAAGACAGAATGATCTATAAGATTAGGCAGAAAGAGGCTAAGCAAGTTCTAAGAGCTTCCAAATCACACACAGAAGAGAAAATAGCACAGTCAGTAAAAAAGGGGGACAAAACTTTTTTTAGATACATAAATGAGAAAAGAAAAGTAAAACAAGGATTAGTTAGATTAAAAACAAAAGAAGGAAGATATGTAGAAGAGGATAAAGGTCTAACTGACTGCCTCAATGAATATTTTTTGTTCGGTATTTGCAGATGAAAATGAAGGAAAGGGACCTCAGTTAAGAAAAAGTATAAATGAGTCATTTATTACACGTGAGTTTACAGAGGAAGAGGTTCTATTTCAACTGTCAAAAGTAAAGACAAATAAGTCAATGGGACCTGATGGAATACACCCAAAGCTGTTAAAAGAGCTTAGCGGTGTACTAGCAAAACCATTAACAGATTTATTTAACCAATCATTGTTAACAGGAGTAGTCCCAGAAGATTGGAAGTTGGCGAATGTTGTGCCCATTCACAAGAAAGGTAATAGGGAGGAGTCAGGCTACTATAGGCCAGTAAGCCTTATTTCAGTAGTGGGGAAAGTGATGGAAACCATGTTAAAGGATAGGATTGTTGAACATCTAAAAACACATGGATTTCAAGATCAGAGACAACATGGGTTTACTTCAGGGAGATCATGCCAAACTAATCTTATTGATTTTTTTGATTGGGTAACTAAAATTATAGGGTGGTGCAGTAGACATTGCTTACCTAGATTTCAGTAAGGCTTTTGACCCTGTTGCGCATAGAAGGCTTATCAATAAACTGCAATCTTCAAGTTTGGATTCCAATATTGTTGAATGGGTAAGGCAGTGGCTGAGTGACAGGCAACAGAGGGTTGTAGTCAATGGAGTATATTTGAAGCTTGGGCTTGTCACCAGTGGGGTACCTCAGGGATCTGTACCTGGACCCATTCTCTATAATATTTTTATTAGTGATATTGCATAAGGTCTTGATGGTAAGGTATGTCTTTTTGCTGATGATACTAAGATATTTAACAGGGTTGATGTTCCAGGAGGGATAAGTCAAATGGCAAATGATTTAGGTAAACTAGAAAAATGGTCAGAATTGTGGCAACTGACATTTAATGTGGATAGGTGCAAGATAATGCATCTTGGACGTAAAAACCCAAGGGCAGAGTACTGAATATTTGATAGAGTCCTAACCTCAACATCTGAGGAAAGGGGTGATTATTTCTGATCATTTAAAGGTAGGCAGACAATGTAATAGAGCAGCAGGAAATGCTAGCAGAATGATTGGTTGTATAGGGAGAGGTATTAGCAGTAGAAAGAGGGAAGTGCTAATGCCATTGTACAGAACACTGGTGAGACCTCACTTGGAGTATTGTACACAGTACTGGAGACCGTATCTTCAGAAGGATATTGATACCGTAGAGAGAGTTCAGAGAAGGGCTACTAAACTGGTTCATGGATTGCAGGATAAAACCTACCAGGAAAGGTTAACGGATCTTAACATGTATAGCTTGGAGGAAAGACGAGACAGGGGGGATATGATAGAAACATTTAAATACATAAAGGGAATCAAAACAGTAAAGGAGGAGACTATATTTAAAAGAAGAAAAACTACCACAACAAGAGGATATAGTCTTAAATTAGAGGGACAAAGGTTTAAAAATAATATCAGGAAGTATTACTTTACTGAGAGGGTAGTGGATGCATGGAATAGCCTTCCAGCTGAAGTGGTAGAGGTTAACACAGTAAAGGAGTTTAAGCATGCGTGGGATAGGCATAAGGCTATCCTAACTATAAGATAAGTCTAGGGACTAATGAAAGTATTTAGAAAATAGGGCAGGCTAGATGGACCGAATGGTTCTTATCTGCCGCCACATTCTATGTTTCTATGCTAATTATACTTTTTGATATGCTATTCATGATTCAGATTTTCTACAGACTAAACATGCGAATCATACTTTAATCCACTCATAGTAACATGTGTAACTGGAAATCCCACAATTGTATTATCTGCTTACCACAGACACTGCCATACCTTGCTTAAACGATCATGCCTTGCATAATTAGTCACCACTCAGAGGTGTCCATATATTTTAGTGTTGCAAAGTGGAATTAAAGTCAATTTTGAGATATTTTTCTATTCACATAACATAGCTAATATGTTTAAGTTCCTTTTTTTTTTTATGTCATACAAAAGTTCCTAACTTAATCTGATCCTCGAGAGAATCCAGTTCTTAGTTTGAGTATTTTACTAAACTTTACTTATACCCAATTGAAGATTATAATAAAGTTCTTAATTTTAATAATGACAGGAGCCAAATATTTTGTATATCTTAGTTTACTGAACTCTATAGCAGCAAAGAAAAAGCTACATAGAAGCAAAGAACCAATGAGAAACAAGCAAATTATATTGAGGTGAGGCAGTCTTAAGCATCTCTTCTTTCCAAATATGAAACACAGGAACATAAGGCCTACATAAACACTTGTGCAATTGTCATCTCAAAGGATCAACGAATTCCGATAAATGAGAAAGAGAGGCAACATTCAGAGGAAAATTCATCCTACAAAGAAAATTAAACTGAAACGACAATAACTGTAAAATAGGCTTAGCCAGTAAAGCGCAATATTACATGCAACTAAACCTGAAATTCTAAACGAAATCAAAGGATACTTTGAAACATATGATGCGTGAATACACAACCATGTAAGGAGGAAGGGTGGATAAATATTCGCCTTCTGTCATTATTACAATTATAGCTAACAAAATCTTCAATTTTACAACATGACAGGGGTTTGCATAATTTGTATTTTTAACACTGAAATAAAAGAGAAAAAGCAGCATGAGAGGATGGTCGAAATTAGAAATACAGTAAAGTATTCTCCCTCGACCACTGGCGGATCCCCCACCCGAGATTGCCCCCCCCCCGAGATTCTCCCCTGCCGGCTAATGCAGGGCTGGCATTGTCCAAGTGCCAGCCCTGCAATGAGCCTGCGGGCCGGGGAGGGAGATCAGAAATCCACAGACACCATACTGGCAGCCGGCAGGGGAGGGAGAGAGAACCCGGGAGCTCAGCCTGCAGCTCCTCTGGGTCCTACTCTCGCGAGCACAGAGTGTTGCCGCGGTTACCACGGCAACACTCCAAATCTCGCGTGAGTGAACTCTAGCCTTGGAGCTATGGGCTAGAGTTCACTCCTACCACTGGGACCACCAGGGAATCCCCATCCGACCACCAGGGATGGAGAAATGTCCCCCCTCCTCCCAGAAAAGGTAAGAAGGGAGGGGGGACATAAATGTATTAAATTTTATACATTATTATTATTTTTTTATCAAAAAGCCCCCCCTACCCTCCTCACCACACATTCACACATTGCCCCCCATACATTGCCCCCCACATACACTGCCCCACACACACACATACACTGCCCCCCATACACACACTGCCCCCCATACACACACTGCCCCCACACACACACTGCCCACACACACACTGCCCTCACACATACACTGCCCCCACACACACATACACTGCCACACTACCCCCCATACACACACTGCCCCCCACACACACACATACTGCCCCATACACACATACTGCCCCCATACACACACTACACACACACTGCCCCCATACACACACTGCCCCCATACACACACACACACTGCATACACACTGCCCCACACACACTGCCCCCATACATACACACACACCCACACACACAATACACACACACACACACACACACTGCACACCACACACACATACTGCCCCCCATACACACAGTCCCCATACATACATGCACTGCCCCCACACACATACACTGCCCCCATAAACACATACAATTCCCCCATACACACACTGCCCCCACACATACAAACACACTGCCCCACACATATATACACTGCCCACCCATACACACACTGCCCCTCACACACACATTGCCACACACACATACAGTCCCCCATACACACACTACCCCACACACACACAGTCCCCCATACACACACTGCCCCCCCACACACACATACACTGTCCCCCCATACACAGACCATACACATTCACACATTGCACCACACACATATACACTGCCCACTCATACACATAATGCCCCCCACACACATTGCCCCCCACACATACACAGCCCCCATACACACATTGCCCCACACACCCTACACATTCACACACTACACCCCCTCCTCCCCACACACACTGCACCCCTCACATTACAGCACTGCTCCTATGCTCTACTACAGCCCCATATTCCAGCAGATCTACTCTGGGAGGGGGTCCCGGCACTATAACCACTACACAGAGCTGTAGTGGTTATCGTGCATGGATTATTTCTTTAAATAATATAAAAGTGCCCCTCCCGAGGTCAGTCTCTGGATCCGCCACTGCCCTCGACCAGTCAGTGGAATGGAAATGACCAAGAAAGAAGTACCAGCAATAATCCTCTGATGTGCCAGGGACCTCATAAAGTGTCAAAACCACTAGATAAAGTTGGTCTTCAAAGATCAGGGTATATATCTTTGCACAATAACTCCAAAAGACTTGCGGAAAGCGGATGTTACTTAGTTACATAGTTAGAGACTTGCGTCCATCAAGTTCAGCCTTCTTCACATTTATTTTTTGCTGTTAATCCAAAAGAAGGCAAAAAAAAACAGTTTGAAGCACTTTCAATTTTGCAACAAACTATGTAAAAAATTCCTTCTTTATCCCAGAATGGCAGTTAGATTTATCCTTGGATCAAGAAGCTATTACCCTACATTGAAAAATTATATCCTTGAATATTCTGTTTTTGCAAGTATTCATCTAGTTGCTGTTTGAACATCTGTTTGAACTCTGATAAAACCACTTCTTCAGGCACACAATTCCATATACTTATTGTTCTTACAGTAAAAAAACTTTTCTTTGCCTTAGACTAAATCTTATTTCTTCCAGTCTAAACGCATGACCTTGTGTCCTATGTAAAGTCTGGTTTGTGAATCTTCAATTTTACAACATGTGATGAATCATCCTCACAATCAGCGTGAAGGGGGGAAATGCAACACTCCCTGATTCAGCCAGTGTTGGAGAAAGGCATCCACTGCCTTGCTGTCCATATCCAGAATCCTACTCAAGAATTCTGGCATCTGATGGTTGGTGCGGAAAGCAAATAGATCCAGTTGAAAAGTACCCCTCATTGAATCCAGCGGGAAGCAAATTTCCACATCGCTGGTATCTCTCCAGTGTCTTAAGAACCAATCTGCTGTGAGGTTTGATGTAAGGTATTCCGCTCTTAAGGTAATGTTGTGGTCAGACAGAAGTCATATATCTCTTTTGTTAGAGTGTGTCCCCTAGCCAACTGCGAACATATTGACAAAGACCTTTTGGGGTTGAAACATTGCTGTTGTGGTTCCTAATAAAGTACCTGTCTTGAACCAAGGAGTGCCTGGACCTCTATTACTTTACTGCGAACATATTGTCCATCCAGAGCAGAATGCAGCAGTTGGACCTCCCTCTTGCTAGGCTGCAAATGGTAAAGGAGCCTGTCAGGATCTCTAGACAATTGATATGGAATAAGGTCTCCTGTTCTGACTACATAGACCCGGTGGAGGTTTTATTGCTAGCAGCGGCCCAACCCCAAAGGCTGAAGTCTGATTCCAACATATAGTGCAGATGCAGACCAAAGATCGCACACCCGCTCCAGGCCTGCATGTGTCACAGCCACCAGTGTGGGTCTGACCGAACATCCTCCATCAGTGTGACTGACTGATCATAAATTGATCAGTCAAAAGGAAGGTGGTCTGCAAGTGTTGCAATTCTCTGCAGTGCAGTGGAACCTGAAAAATGGCCTGAATATATATATATTGCTTGTTTCTGATTGGTTCTTTGTTTCTATGTAGTATTTTTCTTTGCTACTAATGAGTTCAGTAAAAAATAAAGATATGCAAAATATGAAGCCTCTTGTCATCTTGTAAAATTCGAAGCTCTAGGACAAGCGCTAATGGAAGCTTTTTGCAAAGTACACCATGTGCTTTGATTATGTATTTTATGTTTTCCCTTTTACCGGAGGCTTTCTGATTGGTAACGGCTAAGGATCCTTTAAAGTACTGATTACAAGAATTAATTAAACAGAAACAAAAAAGACATCAAAATACAGATTCATCCTGGGGGGTAATAATAAATAACTAATTGCAATATGTACAATATAGTGCAAATTTGAAAATGAGATCAATCTCAAAGCAAATTCTTCTTGTTAAAATAGTATGATTATAAAATGTACAGACATACAAGATCTTTTACATCATTTAGTTTAAGGTAAGTTAATGAAATATTAAAATTAGTTTGATAGACATTTCTGATTGAAAAAAAGCTTATCTTACTGTTATTCAATCTCACTTTGTTTTAAATAATGCAGTAGATCAGAGCTTACATTTTAAGGATTTAAAGAGATTCTCCAAGCACCATAACCACTTGCATGAGGTGCAAAAGGTACCTCTGACTTTTAAGGAGTCAAAACATTTTTGAATGGTTTGACTTCTTAAATAGGGTCTGCTGCATTCCACTTGCTGTCTCCACTACCAATGCCAGAGAGCTGTAAATTCATATGCAGGAACTTACGTAAGCTCTCTTGAGATAAGCTCTGCAGTATCAGGCTTAGCTTATTGGCTGAGTGTGTGAGGGTTTGCTCTGTGTGGCAAAATATACATATACGTATATGACAATATAGACAGAAAAAAGGAACTTGGAAAACTGACACAAACAGTTACCCATAGCTAATGAATCATTGCAACACATATGCTCACAGTTCTGGATTTCCCTAGATGCAAGGTGAGCCTCCAGATGGCTCACTGACCATAGTAGTGCCTGTAACATAATGTTGTTCCTAATTTACCCTAACGTTATGTGCAAGTTCTCAGACACATGACCCAAAAATGATGTGTGAAGATAGAGGGTAGTGGTTTAAAGTGCCCACAAAGATGTGTAAGAGAAAAATCTATTGCAGCAGCAGTAAATCAAAGTAGAAATTAAACTGGTTCTACAAAACACCATGAAGAAGGAGCTCCTAAAGTAACTGTGAAAAAAGAGAGGATAGAATACAATAACTATAAAAGAATGTCACTGCTTGCCTTTCTTCCATCTCTGACTGGATGTCCTCACGCTTTCTGAAACTTAACCTCTCTAAAACTGAACTCCTTGTCTTTCCTCCTCCTAATACTGATCCTCCTCTCTCGCTCTCCCTTCAAGTCAGTGATATTCACATAAGTCCACCCCTGCAAGCACGCTGTCTTGGCGTCATACTTGACTCTGGTCTCACCTTTGAGTCTCACTTCCAGTTTGTTGCCAAGTCCTGTAGGTTCCAACTCAAAAACATAGCCCGCATCTGCCCCTTTCTTACACAAGATGCTACCAAGGAGCTTGTCCATGCTCTAGTAATTTCCCGCATGGATTACTGTAACCCTCTCCTGATTGGTCTCCCCAAAAGCCGTATTGCCCCGCTACAGTCTGTAATGAATGCTGCAGCTAGACTGATTTTCCTCTCTAGTCGGTCCTCTCACACCTCACCCCTCTGCCAGTCCTTACATTGGCTCCCTGTATGCTATAGGAGTCAATTCAAAGTGCTAACCCATACATTTAAAGCACTGAACAATTCTAGCCCCACTTATATCTCTTCACTAATCCATAGATATGCCCCTCCTCGTACCCTCCGCTCTGCCCGTGACCACCTCCTGACCGCTGCTCGCACCCGTACGGCCAACTCGCGCTTGCAGGACTTCTCGCGGGTGGCTCCTTTTCCATGGAATAGCCTGCCTACCGCAATCAGACTCTCCCGTAGTCTTCAATCATTTAAGAAGGGCCTTAAAACCCATCTCTTCAGGAAAGCTTATGGCCTCCCAGAGTAATCTCTACCTTACATACCTGTCTCCTGCTCTCTCCTATGGGACAGTGCTTTGCTCTCTCCTCCAGCTCTGCTTCACTCCTACTTGATATTTCATGTCCTAATGTTTCTAATACCCCACCTCCTATAGTCTGTAAGCTCGTTTGAGCAGGGTCCTCTTCAACCTATTGTTCCTGTAAGTTTTCTTGTAATTGTCCTATTTATTGTTACATTCCCCCTCTCAAAATATTGTAAAGCGCTACGGAATCTGTTGGCGCTATATAAATGGCAGCAATAATAATAATAATAATAATAATGACAATGTACAACACTAGAAACTCCGAACATGGAGCACTCCTTTTATTAGTATGTGATGAGCGCTGGTATTTGAAGTCTACCAATATTGTGAATGTGGTTCACAATCAAAACATTGAAAAGAAAAGAAAAGGAATATTTACTTAACCAATCTAAATAAATAGTCTGTGTTTTTGTTAAATCCACCATCATGAGCTATCACAGTCCCCTTAATTGGCATGCTCTGCCACAGTCATCTATTAACAAAGATATAAATGACTAGCTCCCCTGTTAGAAAAGAATTCAGGGAATGTATGGAAATATAGAGCAAATATACATGTCCGCTGTCAATATCACATGTAACAATTAAATAAACCCTGAGACACCTAAATATTTTCAGGTTTAGGAAGCAACTAACAGAGAGAACTGCTGCTGCAGCAAAAATCAATATCCACAGGGCCATATGTAGATTATCAGTGTGATCTCTACTTCACTGTTAGTACAAGTCTTAGTATAGGATTGGTGAATAGAGCCAAGCTTAACAAAGTACCTTCACAGTGTCTGGCACCCATTCAATGTAAGTAATTAAAAGATTTCAAAGGGAATTCCATAGTGTAAGGCCTCCTTCGCCTCACCCTCTTCAGGGGCATGGAACCCTTTTTACACTTACCCAATTCCAGTGCCGATCTCCCTTCATGTTAGGCCGGCTCTCTGCCTCCTTCAACATCATCTGAACAGGGGAAAGGGGACTAATGTGCATGCACAGCAAGAGCCTTGAGCACATTACACCTCAATGCTTTCTTATGGGGATTTAACAGATGCTGGATGTTTTCATGCAGAACGTGCGGACGTCCAGCGCCAGGTGACCAAAAGTCGGTTAACCACCAGTTTCTCTAAAACTACAATGATTTACATTGCAGGGCTAAGGGGGACAGGGACACTGCACCCACAGCACTTCAATGAGCTGAAGTGGTCTGGGTGCCTATAGTGTCCCTTTAAGAGCAATTTGACAACTTGGCTGGGGTCCACTGGGCACCGATTCCCTCTGCCTGTGGAGTTCTGACGCTCCACTGAGCTAACTCCTACCACTGCCGCAGAGCATCATCTGAGCACTCCCTGCCAGTGAGCTCAGCACTGCACATCTGAGTTAGCTCACTGCAGGGACTCTCTGGGGTGCAGGGGAGGAGGCAGGGACGTATTTGCCACAAGGCAAAAATGGCATTTGCCTTGGGCGGCACTTTCCAGGGGGAGGCAAAAACACCGTCCCCAAACACCCAGGCAAATACCTTGTTAGCCTGGCGGTGGCTAACTAAGGTTCCAGGCGGCCGGGCGGCTAACTAAGAATCCAGGCAGGCGGCGCTGGCGAGGGAGCACTGATTAGTGAGCTGTCTCTGCTCAGCTCACTCGCGTGCCTCAGAGTGATCCTGGAAACCGGAATATGACGTCATATTCCGGCTTTCGGCATCACTCTGCGGTGCGCGAGGGAGCTGAGCAGAGACAGCTCACTAATCAGTGCTCCCTCGCCAGCGCCGCCTGCCCGGATTCTTAGTTAGCCGTCCGGCCGCCTGCATCCATTCCTGCAAGAAGACTGGACTCCCAAAGGGATGGAGGCTGGGTGGATTTAAACTAAAAAAGAAATAGTAACTGGTTAATGTTGGGGGGGAGCACTGTCAGTGTGTGAATGTCTGAGTGATTGTGTGTGCCTGGCTGTCAGTGTGTGTATGTCTGTCAGTGTGTGTCTGAGTGATTGGGTGTGTATGTCTGTCAGTGTGTATCTGAATGATTGTGTGTGTATGTCTGTCAGTGTGTCTGTCACTGTGTGACTGTCTGTCAGTGAGTGAGGGTGTGTGTATGCCTGTCAGTGTGTGTCTGAGTGATTGGGTGTGTATGTCTGTCAGTGTGTATGTGAGTGATTGTGTGTGTATGTCTGTCAGTGTGTATCTGAATGATTGTGTGTGTATGTCTGTCAGTGTGTCTGTCACTGTGTGGCTGCCTGTCAGTGAGTGAGAGAGTGTGTGTGTGTCTGTCAGTGAATATGTTTGTTCCTGAGTGATTGTGTCTGTGAGGGCACCTGTGTGTCAGAGTGAGTGTGTGTGTCTGTCTGTCAGTGTGTGTCTGTGAGTATGTGTCTGTCAGTGAATGTGTCTGAGTGATTGTGTATGCCTGTCAGTGTGTGTGTCTGCATCATTGTGTATGTCAGTGATTGTGTGTATGTCAGTGATTGTGTGAAATCAGTGTGTGTATGTCAGTGAATCTGAGAGTGTGTCTGTCAGTCAAAGTGTGTGTTAGTCGTTTAACAGGAAGAGGTGTGGCATTGACAGGAAGGGGTGGGGCAAATGTAAATTAGGGGTTGCCCGACTTCCGTCTAATGCAGCACAAATGCTAAATACATCACTGGGAGGAGGTAACCAGTGCCGGAAGGACCTCATGTAGTTTGTTAAACCATTTTTTTATCAGTTTGACCACTAACACTGCTTTTGGTGCTTGGAGTGTTCCTTTACATTATTAAAAATAACTATCTATCTCTAGTGGCTGTTATGCGGCTAGAGGTTTCTGTAATACAAAAAAATCTAATCCGGCAAATGTATAAAAATATATTCTAGAGTGGGTGTGAAATGCTAAAGGAACTGCAGGCTAAAAAATGCAAGAAGAGCAAAAAACTCCCGTCACGACACTTGATGTGAGTTAAAAATCTCTATACATAAGGTTCTGTGTTCAAGGAATCGCAAAGGGAAATTGAACACTGAAGACAGGAGGGTCCAAGAGAATTTGATAACCAAATACTTTATTATACAAACAAAAACATCATACTTTAAAAGATATAGCAATGTGATTTAAATAAGTGTATATTATTTGTTTTTAGAACATGTACATGAAGGTAATTTCACGGTATTGGCAAGTGCACGCTATACTTTTTTTTTTCTTTACACATTTAACATCATGTTTTTCCTCCAAGATTTTTCTATAGGGAAATATATAATATATAGGGAAAATACTTTTTTTAGCATTTAAAATAAATTATTAAATATTCTGCGTACATCTAGTAATAAAAGGAGCTATAATTCCTATATGTGTAAGTGGCAGAACATTGTCCATTAGTACATTAAGAATTAAGGAAAGATTTCCTTTTTTGTAATTTTCCTGACTGTGTCAGCTGAATCTTATTTATCTCCTAACATTTCCTGTTTTTGCTTATTGTTGTGTGCAGTTTTACCTTGTGGAATTTCTTCCTGGTTCCAGTATGAGAATATTCATTTGCTTCCCATAACACAGCAAGAGCACATTATGTTCATGTACATTTTGATGATATAACTGATTTTCACCAGTAAGAAAAGCCAAAAATGCAACATATTTATAAAAATCAACTGACATTTGAAGAAATTTTAAATACAGACAGGTACACATTTATTTATGGCCTCAATTAAATTTTTTTGCATAAGCTTTTCAACTTATTTAATATTCTTAGCTATTTTTGATTTAATATTTTAAAAAATATTTTAATATTTTTATATATTGATTATATATATATATATATATACTGATTATATATATAATCAATATATATATAAATATATATCTGATGTATATTTTTTTATATTTTAATATTTTAGTTTATTCATTTTTTTTTTTTTAGATTATCCAAAAAATGTTATACCCTTTTAAAAGTTTACCCAAAAATATTAAATTGAGGCCTTTGTTTTAAAAGGAACACTGTAGAAACTAGACTTGTGCAAAAATGTGTTAATCATTATTTGCCCCAAGAAAATCGATACTGGAAGGTAAAACGATTCAAGAATCGATTAGCTTTGACGATATCCAGTAATTTTATTTAAACAAAATAGCTCGAACTATGTTTTGCACAAGTCTAGTAGGTACTATAACTACTTCATCTCATTGTATTGGTTATAGTAGCTGGAGACCCCAGGCACTGTTCTTCTATTCAGTGTTAAACATTTTCCAGCAATTTAATACTAAACAAGCATCCCTGGCCACCTGCAGCCCTGGCCCCTAATGCAGATATGGCTAAGACAGAGATTACACACTTCTTTCTATCCACACCAAATAATACCGGCAATGGGCACTGTGTTCTCAGCCAATGAAAGCTGCCCATTGCTATTCAGACTAACAATTGCTCATTAGCCCAAGCAACACAGGGGATTGGATGCTATATACTATCATTTGGTGTTTAGCAAATTAACTGCCTCTTGTGTTTTTTTTATTCATTACGGCTAACTTTAAAGAGACACTATTGTCACCATAATAACTACAGCTTAATGTAGTTGTTCTGGTGAGTATAGTATGTCCCTGCAAGCTTTTTGCTGTAACTGCCTTTTCAGTTTACATTATGTGTATATATATATAGTCATATAGTCTAGGAACAACTCTGGTAGCCACTCTTCAGACAACCACTAGAGGTGCTGGCTGGAAGTTCAGCACTGACATTCAGCGTCTCCCCATAGAGATGGATTGATTCAATTACATTATTTCCAGTGCTGCATGGATCCGACAGCGCTGGCTACGTCGCCCGGTCTGCCTGAGATAATCAGATTTGATTATGTCGGCCAATCCAATGCTTTCTGAAAGGGAAAGCATTGTGATTGGCTGAGATCATCAACTCTGATTATGTCAGCCAAGGGGATGGAGCCGGGGCGATGGAAATAAGGTGAGTTATTACTATACTTAAAGTGGCAAAGGCAGGCTAAGGAGGTTAAATTGTGTTTTACTGTATTCTAGATCAAGAAATATTCAACTAAATCTGTCAATGACATTTAAAAAAAAATTCTATTTAGTTGTTTCTGATTTTCTGTTTTAACAGATGGTATCTTCAGATGGTACTGTTTGTCAAGGGCGTTATTATCTTCAATACAGTGGTATATAGAGAATTAAAGAAAATCTATGTTTACCTGTAGGAGATTTGCTTAGAATAATTCTGTAATCTATTATTTTCCACAGATATGTCCACTATTACAATAGTACCAAAACACACATTTACTCCCTCACCTATCAGTTCATCATCTGTCTAAAGATGCTTTTCAAAAGAGCTGAGATTAAGTTTATGATAAAAATGTTTATTATCAAAGTATTAAAATGTATTTTCAAAAAAAATATATTCATACTAAGGCAAACAAATGTTGATGAATTCCTTCTTGCATTCTATAGATCAGTGACAGCTACATTTTGGCAGTCAAAATGTTGTTTCCTATGATGTTTTTCCACATCTGGCGTTCAAGGACTACCCCTCATTGTTACCATAAAATCTCTTGCCAGGCATCTTTTAAAATAGCACATGCAGAGTTATTTACTAAAATGTGAATTGCTGAGAATTAAAATAAAATAAAATAATTGTCTAAAATAGTTGAACTGAAAACACACCTGGCTTGAAAAATATTTCAAATTCAACTATTTGGTCTAAAACGGAAAATTCACATTAATTTCACTTTGCGTTTCTAAATACTCACAGGTAAGTGAATAACAATCATTATTATGTTTTACAAGTATTCTGCTAGTATTGATTATGAACATATATCATCCATTCGGTTTACAATTTAGAAAAAAAGTACAATTCCAAATAAAGATGCATGAGATGTACAGTGTTTTGTCAGTTTGGTTGTAATTAAAGTCTGTATAGCCATCTATTTAAAATTATAATCCATTAATTATGCTTTTAACATTTACCTTAAGACATAAGAATATAACGATTCTTTGAGCAGGTAATGTATCTGCAAGCAATATTGTATGCATTTCTAAAAAGAATATAAACATTTCAGCTCAATACACTCATATAGACATTGTAGACTTGTACCTTTTTCTAATATATTTATTATATATCAGTATTTACAAAGAATATAGAATGAACAATGTGCACATTCCAGTAATAGACTATACAACATCCAAGCCAATACAGATTGCTATAAAATATCATAACTGATAACTAAACACACCAAGGGTTTACAGACTAACAGCAGCCCACAAGTAGATAGATTGGCATATATGTTTCTCTTATATACTGTCCCTAAACCAGGGTTATGTTTGACACATTAGTACTCCTTTACGAAACACCTGCCCAATGTTTGCAAATATACTTTCAACCAGGTTTTTTCTCCAAATTTCAAACATTTATCTTGAAAATACTAATTCTAATCAAACACCAATACAAAAGACAGACACGTACTGAAGTATCCCCCGTACCGGTCATAAATACCGTACAGAAAACACGTGCTACAGGTTGAGAAATTGATAAAATGAAAGCAGCAAAACTAGAAAACTTCTACAAGGCGGCTAAGTTTCCAGTTTAGTTTTTTTTTGGCCATAACATTTCAGATTGAATTCCTGACAGTTCACATGTTAGTGAATAACCCTCCCAGCATAAACAGTACAATTGTTGCACAATACGCACCTTTCCACCTTCCTGGATCCACGATCCTAGATCTTTGCTACTAAGCGCTTTCTGTAGACTTGTCTGCTGAGGGGTCATTTTCATTCTGAGTTTCTCTAGTCAGAAGCATTATATCTCCTTCTTACATTGTCATTAAATGTAACCCACTGACACATCTAAGAAGGAATATAAATCCCACTGTAGCAAAACAAAACACTTTTTAGAATGTTAGCTTCTAGATAGATCCTTGTACTGTGCACTGCAGTGGCAACAGGCTACATTGAAAAGGCAGCGGAGAGAGTTAACATTGACTTGTGGCTGAGCTTTTTTTTTTCCTGAGCTGAGGGGATGCAGTATAGTGCTCCACCTCACAGGCTGCCTAAATAAGGACATTCATATAAGAGGCTGTACTTGTCCTGCCTCACTAACTGCTACAATGTCTCTCTCAGCTGGAAAACAGACAGCAGGCTACTACATACCAGGGCTTCCATCACACCCTCCACCAAATGCTTTAATAAGAATATGCCTGTCAGGAGCTTGGAGAATCGTATAAACCACAAATGTGTAGAATCTGACCACAAAGCAGGTCATGTTAGTGTAGTCATTCCCCGAGAACTAGTCACTCCCTTGCAAAGTGGTCTGATTGTGGGGTCATAAGCTAGTTAGATTTTAACGATTTTATTATGAGCCGTTATTTGTCCTTTTTAAAGAGAACGTCAGGAAAGAAAGTGCGATCAGAGTATCTGTTTTTATATTATCAATTATACATTTCCTATATTATATATAACTACCCCTGTCAGACTCTCCCCTAGTCTTCAATCCTTTAAGAAGTCCCTCAAAACCAATCTTTCCAGGATTGCTTATGGCCTCCAAGAGTAACTTCTATCTCTCAAACCTTCCTCTCGCTCTCTACTATAGGGTCACACTCCAATCTCACTTCCAGTTCTGCTATTTTCCTACCACGTCTATTTGCTGTCTCTCTCAATACCCTTCCTATTGTGTTTTTTTTACCCCACCTCCTCTAGACTGTAAACTCATTTGAGCAGGGTCCTCAACTACCTATTGTTCCTCTTACATTTTGTTATTGTCTCATTTCGTAAATTCCTCTTTTATTGTAAAGCGCTGCGGAATAAGATGGCGCTATATAAATACCAATAATAATAATAATAATAACTAAAGTGTTCAAGTAAATGATGACATATAATAATGAATGTGACTTAGGTGAGAAGCTGTTTTGTGGACTACATTTCTCATGATGCGCAGCTAGCCTAGAATTGCTGGCAGTCCAGGCACGGATACCAATAACCGGTATTAGTTCTGTGTGTCTGTTGCTGTCCCCTTGGTGTGGCACTTAAAGAGGAACTGTCCCTTCTAAGGATTTTCAATACTATGTCTACTTATCCATGTATTTAACAAATATATATTTGATTTAATTCAGTGTGAAAAATAAAACTATAAGCAGAAATCTACATTTCTTTATTTTATTAGAGGGTACCTCCATCTTAGCTCCGAGTTAATCATTGTCGCAAATTCTGTCCTTTGCAACTGATAGTCAACATAGAGAACAACAGAAACTGAACCTTGTTTAAATTTTTCTCTCCATTTTCAAAGTTTGCCCAGACTTTGCCTTGTCTGAACTACATAATAAGGTCCCTTGCTAAATAATGGTCCAGAAAACAGAAGCATCTAATAAAAAAAATGATTAACACAAGTTATAGGTGATTTTCAATATTTTTTTAAATTGTTTAATTTATGGCGAAGTGACAATACCCCTTTAATTCCCCATCTTACTAGCAGCTCGTTCTGTAGAATATCCTTTTCACAGTGTTAAAACAAACTCTGCGTGTGCCTTATTAGTAGGAATTTGTGGCTTAGTAATAACCTTAAATTATTCTAAATGAGTATTTAAAAATAAACAACTAAAATAGAAAGTATCAACTTTTTTTGTGTGCTGTGTAAATTATGTTTTAGTCTCACACATAACAGCCTTTAAGTGCAGCATTATACTCACACAGACCCAGGTAAAAAAGAAAATTAATGCTGATAAAATAACAGCAGATGATGGTGTTTCCCCCATCCAAAGGTGGGGGAAGAAATAATACTATTTATAATATTAGATATCCTTAAAGTACCGTGTATCCTAGACTAAAAAAAAAACTATGACCAGGCACTATGTCACAGGTTCTGCCTTCCCCCCAGTCCCCACATTTCCATGGTGATCTCATGGGGGTTGCCAGGGTATATAACTGCTGGTTGCAGGCACCAGTACACAAATTTAAAATCAAAGAATGGTTCACTAAATAAAACCATGTACGGTACCTTTTAAAAACATTAAAATTGGAAAAACTGTTAAAGGAGCACTATAGGCACCCAGACCACTTCAGCTCAATGAAGTGGTCTGGATGCCAGGTCCATCTAGGGTTAACCATGCCTGCTGTAAACATAGCAGTTTAAGAGAAACTGCTATGTTTACATTTGGGTTAATCCAGCCTCTAGTGGCTGTCTCACTGACAGCCGCTAGAGGCGCTTCCGCGCTTCTCACTGTGAAAATCACAGTGAGAAGACGCCAGCGTCCATAGGAAAGCATTGAGAATGCTTTCCTATGGACTGGCTCAATGCGCACGCGGCTCTTGCCGCACATTCGCATTCATCCGATGACGTCGGAAGGAGGAGGAAAGTCCCCAGCACCGAGGGAGCCCAGCGCTCGAGAAAGGTGAGTGTTTAACCCCCTTCTTCCCCCTTCAGCCCGGCGGGAGTGGGACCTGAGGGTGAGGGCACCCTCAGGGCACTATAGTGCCAGGAAAACGAGTTTGTTTTCCTGGCACTATAGTGGTCCTTTAAGAACAACCGTTTTGGAAAAATAGCAGGGTTCTTACTATTCAGATATTTTGGCCTAACATTTACAATCCCCTGGTCAGATACCAGGGTGTCATGCCCAGATACACTTACTGATGAAGGGATCATATTAGTATTCAAATCTGGGTTCCCTACTTCTAAGGCAGTGACATTACCACATATGAGTTTATGTCCTTCTGCTTGGAAACAGTAAAACATATTTGAACTGGAAAAAAACATGATCTTTGATTGATAATGAAGTGGTTTGGAATTCAGTTATTCTCTTTATTGGCAAGTCACTGGTTCAGCTGGCCTTTATTCTAAACTGACAGAAATAAACAAGTGCTAGATAGAGTAATGCTATGATCTTTGAAATAGGGGAGCCTGGTTTGAATCCCAGAATCAGCTCTGGTGTCCTTTACTACCACAAATAAAAAAGAATCTTGATTACCCCACATTTCACACAGTCTTAAAGAAGTACTAAAACCACTACTGATTACAATGCCAGGAGTGCCCTGGTGCTGTCCCACAATACGTAGTCAAATCGTTAAAATACAGCTTGACATGCACAGCAGTTGCCCCTTCTTCCAAATCTCTTGCAGAAGAATCCAGTGAGATCTTAAGAGAAAAGCAGGACCATGGTGGACTAAACTAGTTAAGAGTGCAAGCTAAGTGCTCATTGGAGCCTGGTAGACACAGGTAAGTTGTCAAGCCATACTAAAGTGGTGCTAGGGCACTCCCATACCACTAAAGCGGGCTGTAGTGATAGTGATGCTTGGAGTGTTCCTTTAAACAAGAATACCTCTAGACACACACACATATATATACAGTATTAGGTCCTGATGAAAGCAAAATGTTTTGTTTAAAGAGCCACTATAGTGCCAGGAAAACATACTCGTTTTCCTGGCACTATAGTGCCCTGAGGGTGCCCCCACCCTCAGGGACCCCCTCCCGCCTGGCTCTGGAAAGGGGAAAGGGGTTAAAACTTACCTTTTTCCAGCGCTGGGCGGGGAGCTCTCCTCTTCCGATCCTCCTCCGCAAGAGCTGCGTGCGCATTCAGCCGGTCGCATAGGAAAGCATTTACAATGCTTTCCTATGGACGCTTGCGTGCTCTCACTGTGATTTTCACAGTGAGAAGCACGCAAGCGCCTCTAGCGGCTGTCAATGAGACAGCCGCTAGAGGCTTTGGAGGAAGGCTTAACTCATTTATAAACATAGCAGTTTCTCTGAAACTGCTATGTTTATAAAAAAAATGGGTTAATCCTAGCTGGACCAGGCACCCAGACCACTTCATTAAGCTGAAGTGGTCTGGGTGCCTAGGGTGGTCCTTTAAATGTTTATAGAAGACACAGCAGAAGACACAGCACTACTTTCCATTCTATTTGGATAATTTTGGCTATTTTCCTTGGATTTAAGCACCAACTTCCCAAATAAGTGGATTAATCTAATAAGAGCAGGCATTAGGTTGCTAGAGTAGGACCTGCCAAGAATGAGGTACATTGACGTTGTGGCAGGCTTATATAATGTATGATCATATCATGTAACTAAACTCCCATTATTTTTTGCCTAGGTGAGGTGCTTTTAAATAAAACTATTAAATTCTGTGAGACTTGAAATTGCTGTTTAGTGAATGAGCAAGTTTGCTGGATTTTGTATGTTGTATGAATTGGCCCAAGCAGCACCATTATAAGTAAACATGTTCAGGTGAGTGCAGCCCTCTTTCTGTTACATGTACACACATTCACACTATGTTACATGTGCTTGCTTATACACAAACACACTGATGCAAAGAGACAAATTGTTTTCAGGGGAGGTGACTATAACATGGTGCCTGTGTCACAGTGAGTGTGACAGGTTGAGTGTGTGCGTGGGGATGAGTGCGACATGGTGAGTGTAGGGGATTTACATAGTTACATAGTAAGCTAGGTTGGAAAAAAGTCCATCAAGTTCAACCTTGAAACCCATTCTGTTATGCTGATGATCTAAAAGAAGGTAAATAAACGCAATTGTGGCGACTTCCAATTATGGTAAGAATGTCCTTCTTGACTCCAGGGCCGGTGCAAGGATTTTTGCCGCCCTAGGCAACAATAAATTTAGGCATTTAGACAAGGCATTATGGAAACTATAGTGCCAGGAAAACAAACTTGTTATCCTGGCACTATAGCTTCCCCCTCTGTCAAGCGCACCCCACTCATTTACCTGGGTCCAGAACCAATGTCTTTCGGGCTGGCTCGGGTCCGCCTTCGTTCCTCGATGGTAGTTCCGTGACGCTAGGTTTTGCGTGACGCTGGACGTCTCTATGCATAGCCACTAGAGGAGTTAACCATGAACAGTAATTTTTGCAGTTCTTAAAAATTGCAATAATTACCTTTGCAGTGTCACTCACACTATATCATTAATACACACACTCTCTCACTGGCATACACACTTACACATTCTAACTCTAACTTA